TTGGTAGGGTAGCTTTGTGGGCCTAGGGGTCCTATGTGGTTCAATGGATCAGCCTCCCAGTTGCCTGATGTGGACACTCTTGGTGCATCCCTTTGTGGACTGTGTGTACAGCCTTGTTGTAGTTAAGTCTTGATTGTTGTTGGTGTCATGGGAGGAATTGACCTCCAGGCCAATTGGCTGTGAGGACCCACTGTGTCTATAATGGAAGAATTGCTTTGCTGGAGACACTTTTATGGGGGAGGACTTGTTCCCGTAGGGCTTTGGTGCTCACTGAGTCTGTCTCTTGAATGTGTTTCTTATGAGAGTAGTTGAAATCTGGTGTCGTCTCACACTGACCACTAGATACACTAGTTTCTGGATCTCCAATGGGGTGCAGTTCAGGTACTGTCTGAGGCCACCCTGCAGTAGCTACAGAGAGAACCTTGGAGCTTGGAAGCTTTGTAGCTATCTGCACCAGGTTGCAAGTTTGCTAAGTTAAACTGCAATAGAGAAGGCCATTCATATACAAAAGCCGCTGCTTGGAGCTTGGGTGTATTAATAGATTGTGAGGGGCAGAGTCTCAGGGTGGAGTCTCAAGGCATATCTAGGCTAAGGCGTGGCGAACATCAATGGCTGCCAGTCAGCCTCTCTGACCATGTTCCCATGTCTCACACCCCAGCACAGCAAACAATTATTCTTGTGTGCAGCTCTGCAAGCAAACTACCCTCACTTTCCAACCCGATGGCAGACAGTCTAGCTTCTCCCCAGAAACTGAATTTCAGAGAGATTGGGAGCTTATCTCTCTTTGGGTTGAAGGAAGAAGCAATGCCCTACGCCAGCCAGGATCCACCGCCTGCCCATATCGCAGTTTTTCAGCTCTTGTGCCCTGAATGCTCCTTTCCCTTTTAATCTAGTTGTAGAGCTTCCTTTCAGTTTTCCCATGGTTTTGGGTGATATAAGTTTTGTTTTTAGTTGTAGTTTTGAAATTATTGTGCACAGAAGCAGTTTAGGTGTTTACCTAAGCTGCCATCTTGGATCTGCCCCAATAAAATATATTTTTAAAAAAAGAATAGTTTATTGATTTTTAGAGAGAGAAGAAGGGAGAGGGAGACAGAGAGAAACATCGATGTGAAAGTGATCAGCTGCCTCCTGCACACACACCCCACACCAGAGGGGCGGGGTTTGACCCCAAAACCTACCATATGTGTCCTTGACCAGGAATCTAACCATCAACCCTGGGTACTCAGGACAACCCCCAACCAACTAAGCCACACTGGCCAGGGTGAGAGTTCTATTTTTTTTTTTTAAGTGTAGTTGGTATACAATATTATATTAGTTATATTAGTTTCAGGTGTAAAGTTTTACTTTCTAAATTTATTATTTTGAATATATAATAGTATACATGGTTAAATATATATATATATTTTTTTCCCATAAAATAAAAAAAAAGCACCCAGTGTATATCAGTCCCCAGAGGTGATCATTGTTACTTCTTGAGTTTTATTCTAGAGACATTTTATACATATAAGAGCATATATTTGTGCCATCTCTCTTCTTTAAACATATTATTCACATTGCTCTGCCATTTTCCTTTTTTTTTTAAATATATTTTTATTGATTTTTTACAGAGAGGAAAGGAGAGAGATAGCTAGAAACCTTGATGAGAGAGAAATATCGACCAGCTGCCTCTTGCACACCCCCTACCTGAGATATGCCCACAACCAAGGTACATGCCCTTGACCGGAATCGAACCCGGGACCTTTCAGTCCACAGACTGACGCTCTACCACTGAGCCAAACCGGTTTTGGCTGCCATTTTCCTTTTTTATTTCACTATGTTAGAGATTGTTCTATATCTCATCATATATCTCTACACCTTGCTTAATGGGTGGCATAGTGTCCACACAAGATCTATTGGTTGTTTTTATGAAGTATACAATGAAGTGTGACTACTTCTTGGGTTCATCCTCATCATGCACATTCTCCAGAGAGACCAGGTGTCTTGTTTTCTATTCTTCCAGTTCTCTGAATTACCTGGTTCATGTTGATGCACTGATCTAGAACACATCTATCACTTATTTATACAAGCATGTCTACTTTTTCCCCCCAGATTCTAGTCTCCCTAAACTCAAATTGTTCTTTTACTCAAAGACATTCTCTTGTTTTATTAATATATTATTGGGAATATACATAAGTGTGTATAACATGTATATTGATGGGGTACATGACATACTACCCAAAAATATAATGCCTTGGCATATTGAATATTTTAAGCCAAAGGAGTTTGAGAAAATAGATGCAGGGATGACTCTGTGTCCTTCCCCTGAAGCAGGTCCTTAGACCCTTTCTACACACTAAGGAAACAATCATCTTATCTCTAAGACTGAGAGGAATCTGAAAGAACAGGCCTTGCTAAGTTTCTCACCATTTACCACACTGAGCACATACCCCTTTTGTCCTATAACATTTTTGCATGACTTCCCATTCTTCATCAAATCTAGCACAGAAGATACAGGTTTAACTCTTCTTTAGGTCTTCGCTTCCTTATAAGGCTCCCATGTTTCATAAAATTTATATTAAACTAGATGCCTGGTGTACAAATTTTTGCCAAGGTGAGGTCTGGCCAGTCCACCCCAATCGAGGCTGATTGGGGCCGGACTGGCTGGGGGGAGGGGCTGTGGGAGGTTGGCCAGCCCCACCTTTGATTGGGGTCAGAGGTGCCTATTGGGGGCCAGACCAGCCAGAGGGAGAGGGCACAGGAGATTTGGGGTGCCCAGATCGGGCCAGTTGGCAACCACAGTGCATGTCATAGAGACCGATCTTTCCAGTTGATCTGGTCATTCCATTGTTCTGGTTGCTGAGCTTTCATAGATAGATAGATAGATAGATAGATAGATAGATAGATAGATAGATATCCGTATGCTTTTTTCTTGTTAATCTGTCCTTTGTCACAGAGAACGAGCCAAAAATCTAGAAGGGTATAAAGAAAAGATACTCTTCCTCTCCTGCAATATATTTAAGGAAAAATAAAACCACTAATAGTAGAAGCCTTGTCACCCACTTCCTCCTCCATTTGCTGTAGCAGGGTAACTATCTACCATCCTGAATTTTCCATTAGTCATTCTGCGGCTTTCCTTTTCTCAGGGGTTCTCAGGCTCTAATGCATCAGAATCACCTAGAGAGCTTGTTAAAACACAGATTGTTGGGCCCTACCATTTATGATTCAATGTCTTGTACGTTTCCATGCGATGCTGCTGCTGATCCCAGGACTACACTTGGAGGGCTGCTTTACCTCAAAGTTAGCCTTGACTTCTGTATGATGACCCTTGTCCTTCCCTAAAACTAGACATTTTGTAAATGTGTCTTAAGGACCTGCCCTCATTTTTCCTCTACTCCATTTTCTATCACCCAATTTAAGAGCATTCAATCTTTGCTAAATATTTTTTAAATTTTTAATGTATTTTTATTGCTGATAATATTACAAATATCTCCCATTCTCCCCATCCCCCACTCCCATTCCTCACCCACTCCCTAGGTCTTCACCACCCTATTGCCTGTATTAAATATTTTAATTAATTGTAGCTTTTGACCAGCATCTATTTGTAAGTTTCTCATGCGGGTGTGTGTGTGTGTGTATTATTGTTAGTTAACCAAAAGGAAGGGTGTAAGCAACATTTATGTGTCTTTGTCATCTAATCTGTAAGCCATTTGAAAGCAGGAACCAAGTGAAAGGGTTCAGAATAGGCCACCCCCAGCTATGCCACTTTGGCACATTGATGATTTGGGGCTGATGGCACCTGAGACGTGGAAGATTCAGGAAGTGTTCCCTCTTCTTCCCCTTTCTGCCTAAAAGCAAGCCATAACATTTTCCTTGAGAAAAGTACCTTCCCTGTACCAAGAAGAGAAAAGCAATATTTATCACCAGTCTTGGAGTCGACTCCAGTTTGTATAAACAAATCTTCTCAAATCACCCTGATCTTTCATTCGTTTCCCCTCTATATTTCTTACTGACTATCCCACAGTTTAATGTTTCTAGTCCAAGCCACTCTGTGTTGCCACATCCCCGTAATTTATTGTTCTTTGTCTATAAATAGGTATGTAAGCTTTTGAGCCTAACATCTCCTTTGAGATTTTATTTTCCTTTTGAAGATCCCAATGTACATGTAAAAAATATACTAAGTAAGTTTATGCCTTTCTCCTGTTAATCTGTCTTATGTCAGTTTAATTCTTAAACCAAGCACAGAATTTAAGAGAGTAAGAAGAAGTTTTTCCTGCCTCTACACAAATTTAATTTCCCGCTGTTTGCAGTCCACTTTACAGTTTCCTCACTCAGTTGCTTATAGAGGCCAAAAGTCAAAGTACATAAATAAAACTTGCCAGGTGGAACTTTACTTACCTGGAAACCATCTTCTGTGCAAGGAGGGCAGCTATTACTTATACTTAAGCCAATCACAGGTCCATTGTTCTCTAATTTTTCCCAGTTTTCAAGAGAAACCAAAAATAACCCTAACATTTTAAGACACAGAGTAGGCACACAGAGATTCCATGCAGAATTCATCTGCAGGAACTGGCACTGAATCCATTTCATGTTTCAAGACCTTTACGATGGATGGTTTTCCTATTTATAACCTACCCAATTTAGAGAAAACCAAAAGGATTTCAGGTGAACTAATGATCTAAACTGGGTTCTCAGCCTTGGATTCCAATCTGCCACCACCAAAGGAGTCAGGTTCTCAAAAAGCAGGAGGGGTGAGGTGTCAGTAGTTTTGAAGCAGGTTTGATTCCTTAGGCATCTTACCATGCAACTCACAGCTTCATGCTCCTCAAGGATGTCAGCCAATATTAAGGAACTAAGATATAGGTGGTTTCTTCCCATCTTGATATGTCCTCCCCACTTCCCACTATCTTACTATTTACTACCTTCTCAGAATTCAAGATTTTTCCTACCAGCCTTGGAGCCCACCCCATCTTAATTCCTTTCTAGAGGATAATGACAGAGCCACAAATACAGGTGCTATTTCATTGGGAAACATTTTATTGGAGTTATTGAGCAAAGAAAGAATGATTACAGGATAATCAGATCCCATATTAGCCCCCTCTTCCAGCAGGTATCAGTAGTGCTGGGTCTTGAAGGAACCAATCACTGGGCATCAGGAGTTGCACTCCTCAATCCTTTCAGCTAGAGGGAGAAAGGGTAGGATCATATTAGGGACTCTCCGGTGCAGGAAGTTGGAGTCCTCCATAATGAAGCCACTGATGGAAAGGAGTCTCTGTTCCAATCTAAGTTCCCATTCTCTATTGTAGCTGAGATTTCCCTTAACTTTGGTGAAGAGGTTTATCCTCCCTTTACCGTCCCACTCTTGTCTCCCAGACCCTCTACTTCTTCCCCCACCCCCAACCTCCCTATCCTCCTAATGCTCACTTCCTTTTACCTTAGGAAAGGCATCCCAGTTAAGGAAAGGAAGCTTCTTTTTGATCATCTAAAATAGAAAAAGAGAGTGAGAGACATGTCACAGGTCAGGTGAGCATAGATCAGTAAGCACCCACTCTCTGTAGTGGTGATGGTATTATTGTTTTATAATTAGTAAAAACTAATACTTTCTTATGCCCTTGTTCTGTATCTGCCTTGTACTAAATGCAGTACAGCCATGATATCATTTCAGCTTCACAGCAACCTTTGAGATAAGTACTGACATCGTCCTCACAAGTGGGGAAACTGAGGCTCAGAAAACTGAAGACATTTGCAAGTATGTGCAGAGTCATCGATGCAAGCTCTAGTTCCCGCATAGTCACTGATGTAGCCTTTGAAGTTTGGATAGGCCACCTAACCTAGGACCTTAGTTTCTTCATGGAGGATGAGGGCATTCAAATAAACTCTTGACTGATTCAGTTCTTCCTTTTCTGGAATTGTCTTTGTGGCCTTGTTCTCCTACTGCCATGTTAGGAATATAAGGTATAGCCATGACAGTCTCCTGGGGAAACTTTCTTTGCTAGACAATATCCAAGCATGGCAGTTACTCCTCATAGAACTCAGGAAAGAACCCAGAGGGTAAGAACTAGCATGTGTTGCCACTATCCTGGATAGACTGCAAACAATCTAGGAGAATAAGGCATACACAGGCACTTACCTCGAAGAGGGCATGCCAGTTCAGGAATTCATCAGTCTTAAAAGCCTGTGGGGAAAGAGAGACCAAAAGAGGGTTGGTTCCAGGGGAGGACAAAGCTTAGCCCCTAGCCCTCCCAAAATGATGAAGGGACCCTGGCAGCTTGGCAAGCTCACTACCAAGGATAATCAGATCCCAGATGTGGGTATTTGTTGGGGCAGCACTAGAGGTTGTACTTACAGATCGAAACTTTTCGATGTTCAGGAACTGAGGGCTAACGGCCTAGGCAAAGAAGCAGGGTGTCAGAAAAATTGCTAAGGGGCATGAAGATGAATAGATGGGGACAAACTCATGGCTGGAGTGTGGGGAAATGGGCGTTTACCTCAGGTCCTGCTGCATAATTACCAATGGTGCTTTCTTCCTGGAAAATAAAGAAGAGAAAGGAGCCAAATGATCATGTGACAGCAAATCCCTTTTCCCAAAAATCTCTCAACCAGCTCTGCCTTCTTCCACAGGCCACTTCACAAGCAAATAGCCTATCCTCCATAGGGCCTCCTTAACCCAGTCTGTTCCAGCAAGACAGATGCCTGACAGACAGACAAGGTGAAGAGAAGGGCATGTGTAAGATAGAGAAGTAAAAACCCCAACCTGCATCAAGTGGAAAGGGTGGAGAAAGAGGACTCCTCCCAAGAAAAACGAGCTCTTGTTGCTCTGCAGTCCTTGCAGATCCTGAGACACCCACACTTAGCCCAGAGAGCTGGGTGGGGGAGACTAACATGCCAATGGAAGCCAAGCTGCCAAAGTGCCCTGTCTGCCTTGAATTTATTGAGGTTTGCTTGCTTTGTGACTTTATTGCTACCAAAGTCCCAGTCTCTATTTCCATCTCTATTTGGTGAGTCGCCCAGACCTTAGCACAGCCCATCTTGTTGCTATCCCAACTTGTCTGGCTTCATGTTTCTTATACCTTCCTTCCCACAACCGAGGCTAGACCCAAATGTTTAGATCTCATAGTAGTTTGGCTGAGTTTTAGTTCATTTTAAATTAGCATTTTAATTACTAAAAATTCATAAATCAGATTTCTAGTTTCTCTGGAAAAAAATTAAAACTCTGGCCACACTGGGTACATTTTCCTTTTAACAGCAGTCAGATAGAATACAGACCATCCCTTTTAGATTAGGCAAATTTGCTCCACCTCCCCTGAGGCCCCACCAGCCCTTGTGCTCACCGACATCACTTGCTTGGATCCTTAAGCCATTGAGTTTGTAACCCCTATCTTAGACTTTTCAATTCAGCATACACATTCTCCCCCCACCTTGGAATAAGGTAGAGATAGAGAGGCCTCGGGATTCCTCCTGGCTAGAAACTGGCTCGTAAGGGTTTTTGCTATGGCCGGGGCTCCAGAGGTAGAAGGGAACTTCCAGTCACCTGGGAGCCATTCCCAGGGATATGAATGAAACAAAGATGAAGCTGAACCCAGACAACCAGCCTCAGCCCCTGTCTCCTCCCAGGGTTTAGTTGTCCAGCCTCCACCCCATGCTTCACCATCTCTTCCAGAAATAGCATCTCCTTTCCTACAGGTCTTCCCAGGAATGTTTTGCTTCCTTCCTCCTTTCGTCCCTTCCTCAGAGCCCAAGCTTCTCGTCCAGCCCCTGATAATATTCAAAAATAAGAACCACTTATCCAGTAATGGATAGAAAGTAAAGAAACTGAAGAGTAAGTGAGGTAATAGGCATAAGAAAAATAAAACCAGGTGATGTGCTCACCTCAGAACTACCCAGGGTAGCCCCCTGAGCAGAGTGGAGTGCCAAAAGAGAGAGAAGAACCACAGCAGGAAGAACTGGGATCTTCATGGTGTCAAGTTTAGGGTGCTCTGAGGCGGGGCCTCACTGCTTGCTCTTTATATTCCCAGGGAGGCAGATGTGAGCAGAAATGGGGCCACCACCCCACTGACTCACCCCCAGATCCTGTCACTCACCCCTGGCACTCTGGGAGGGAAGTTATGGACTGTCCCCCACTTACCTTGGATTTCTCAATTCACATTCTGCCCTAGGCAATAGGAAGGTGAGATGGCAAGGAGGTTCTTCATGCAAATGGAGCTGGGATGGAGACAAGTTGGACCTGTCCTTCCAAGGGATTGGCAGTGGCACCCAAGCACCTCTCCTTTTGTCTGTCTTTTTTCCTTATATCCTTCATTCCTCTTATATCACTCAGGCTTTTTCCCACCCTGCCCAGTTTTGTCTAAACTCCTTAGACTGGCATTGAAAACCTTTCATGTTCTGGTCTCAATCTGCCTTTCCTTTTTCTTCTTATACTGCCTTTGCATGTTTCTTACATTATGGCCAAACCGGACACCATACCAAATATACTCTTCTTTTTCCTCCTCCAAGTATCTTTTCATGCTGTTCCTTATCCCTAAAATGCCCTTCTCTCATCTCCAATTCTCAGAATACAACAGCCATCTTGGATGAAGCTTCCCTGATTTCTCCCATCATCCCTCACCTGCCTTCCCCACACATTTTGCCTTTCTCAGAATTGCCATAACAATTCAGTTGTATCTCTCTGACATTGTACCTAGAGTAACCTATGTTCTTCTCTTATTTCCCTCTTAGAATACTAAGTTCCTTGAGGTCAGGAACTATATCTTAATCACCTTTATATCCCTCAAACACTGCACCTTACACAGAGTTTAGGTGGAGCCAACATTTGTTAGATTGGATATGTTAGAATTCAAGCATCCTCCCACCAAGTTGTAGACTTTCCTCCTTTGAAGATGGACCCCTCCCATTATCCAACTGCTCATCTTTTACTCTTGGGTCTTCAGAGAGATTACTGTTTTGTCCTAAGATAAGGAATAGAGGGAAAAATGCAAAACAGGTCTTATAATCAATTGGAGATTGGATCTAGCTCATGAACTTTGAGTGCCTACTTCATTTCATTGACTTAGCCCATCCCCTACTTCATTCCCCCAGTTTAGGAGTTGATCACCTCAAAGTGACAAAACATCCCAATCAAACAACCTTCTCCACAATGAGGTTCAGGTAGCCCAACCAGTTTATGGCGTAATAGGGAGGTGCTGAAACATGGACTAGTGCTACCAGGACAAAACAAGATCTTATTTAAGAGTGGGCCTCTTTGCCCAACCTGGTGCAATGCACACAGGTGGCAGGCCTAGAGTGGGAGGGCTTCAGTCATTTATGAACAATCTTTTGAACTCCAGAAGGCACTTCAGCTCAATTATCCTGCTGCCCCACACTCCAATCCCTGACATCTATCCCTCTGTAGCCTTAGGAAGCCTCCTGTGTTTTTATAGAGCTACCTGAGTAGACAGTGCTTCAGAGACACTCACTAAGCACAGATAACCTGTGACAGTGGATGCGATGTACAGTTGGTGCTACTGGAGGGGACAGGTGAAAAAATGACTGCAGTGGGTGGAGCACCTCCCCAAAAAGTTTTCTGGAGGACACAAGTTTTTATGTGTAATGAATTCTTACTAATTAATTAACAGTGACTGAAGGAGCTCATTAAGCACCATTCTGTCAGCATAAAGTCAACTCCAGGAGTAAAAGGAATAAAGAATCAACAAAAGAGAACTGCTATTGTAAAATCAACTCCACTTAGATATGCTAATGTAGGAACACTTTGGTATCTAAAGCAACAAGTGATCCAAACACCTCCAAACTCCATTATCTATTTGGCTCTAGAGTTCTTTAGCAACAAATTGACTTCCCCATTTTCCTGTCCACCTAATACTAGTGCTACTAATAATAATGTTAGCCAATTTATTGATATTTTACTTGCGCCAAGTGCTCTAAATGCATTGAAATGTCACAGTGATTCTGTGAAGTAGGCACCATAATTATCCAAATTCTTTAGGTAGGGAAACCACAACATGTAGAGATTAAGTAATTTACCCAAGGTCACACAGACAGTGTGGCAAGGCCCATGTTCAAACCCCAGGATTCCAGAGCCTACATCTGTATTGGCTTTTGGCTATGCTGTGGAGTGGTATCCTAGAAAGGGCCTTGGCCAGCCCATATACCACCGTGTGTGATTAGACCCTGCGTGCTGGGGCAGGCTGCATTTAGTCCCCACTAGCCCACTTGACCAGGTGTCCTTTGTGGTGTGTAGCCTGCACAGCCATAGGCAGCAGCTCTGAGCACATGTGTATTAATTTCAATAAATCCAACTGTAAACTCCTGGCAAAATGAAAACAGAGAACTAAGAGATTAGCCCCAGAATGAACCTGCATTTGCCTCAGTTTCCAGATGCCTCACAGAGTATGAGCATCTTGCCACACCAAGTATGTATTTAATGATATTTCTAGGTTTGTTCTAGTGTTTAAAGTTCTAGTGTTTAAAGATAGGTACTTTTTAATAATGTCTCTTAACACAAGCTAGCTACTTCATGTGCACAACCAAAGAAAGTCTGTTCTTGTGCTGGAGAAAAAACTGGGTGTGCTAGACTTCCAATTAGTTTCAATTTGGTACCTTCCTGATGGAATTTCGAGAGCAAGTTGGCTTACGTGACTTATGCTGTAAGTGCTAACTAATGTCTCTCTCCAAGCTCCTTGCCATTCCCTATCTATACTGCCTCAGTGAGTTTCCTGAATGTTCTGTGTCCAGTGATCAAGCAGATGGGGGGATTCTCACTGAGAGAGAGTTCCAGCAGCCCAGGTAATGGCTGGCAGGATAATGGGCCTAGGGTTTACCATTGCTTTGGATACATCACTTCGAATTAATGGTCAGGCAGAGCTATAGAGCTGGCTCTGCACCAAACCATTTCCAAGTCTGGTTTATCTCCTAACTCCCTCTCTGAGCATACCAGTAAACCCCTGTTTTCCCACAGGCCAGCCCCCACCCTACCTCAGATCTGCCAGAACTTGAGTGTGGGTAGGAGGTGAGGCCGAGCCCTGATTGCCACATTACAGACACACCTAGGAGTTGGGAGCTGGCCTCCTGAGTTCAGGGAATGAATGGGGGATTTGAAGGGATGCACCCTGGGGCTTCAGGGTCTTGGTGAACACCCAGATGATAAGCCTTGAAGAGAACGGGTGCCTGGGTAAGGGTATTGGGGTATGTGGTGTATTGGGAGGCATCCCTGTCCCATCCTTTTCTCCCTCTGCCAGTGTTACTATCATGCCCAAGAAAGCAGCCACTTTGCCCAGAAGATCTAGTGTTTTTTTTTCCCATCCTCTGCTCCTGTGTATCCTTTGCTTAAACATCTTTCAGAAACTCTTCCTGGACTGGTTCAACTTAATTCTGATTCCTGTAGTTCATAAATATTTATTAAGCAGCCACTTTGGCTCTTGGTACTAGAAATTAAATATGGACATGATACCTGTCCTGTGGAGCCTATTTCTAGTGGAGGAAATAGATCATAATCTAATTTTTAAAAATTAGGAAACAAGAGAATGACAAATTCTATGAGTCAGTTAAAATGGTAGTGATCATATATGTATCCTTGGTTGAGCTGGCTTGGGGAAGGCCATGTGAATTTAGATCTAAAGCTCCAAATTTCTGAAGATCCTGGGTTCCAGAGCCAGATAACAGCAGTGTTCCCCAAGCGCCTTTCCCAGGAGGTCCATAAGGAGAGGGAGGCCAGAGCCAGGTCACCCCAAGCCTTGCTGAGGAGTTGGGATTTAATTTTAGGGCTAATGAAAAGCTTGCAGAGAATTATGAGCAGGAGATCTTTCCTGGCTGTCACGAGAGAATGGATTATAGGGAAAATATGAAAGAACATAGGAAAGTTGCTTCAGAGGTACAGACAGGAGAAAGGGGTGGCCTGCCTTTTTGTTGAAGTCCTTTAAACAAGAGGGCCTTTGCCTGCTTCAGATGGTACTTTAAACTTTAAAGAGATGCTTTCAGCCATGTTGATCACCTCAGCTTCTCCCTTAATCCCTCAGGGACTGGCTCCAGCTGTTTCTGAAATCTCACCTCACTCCAGGAAGCTAGCTGTCTTGTCTGTCTGTAGAAAGGATTGAGTGTTGGCCCTGGGTCAGCTGTGTTCTCCCCCCTGTGGCTGCAAGGAGGTACTGCAAGGATATCTCCATAGAATTAAAACCCAGGATAAATATAAAGCAGTAGCTCCAATTCAGGGACATAAGGGAGCAGAGCTAAGGAGTAGTCCTCCTCTCCCTTCCAGCCAGGTGGATTTAATCAAATTGGTTTCCTCAGGTCCATTTTGAGCGTGGTTTCTATCATTTACTCATCAATATTTGAGGCCAACCCAACCTGTGCCAGAGCCTGTGGTTGGCGCAGTGACCAAGGAAGACCATCATGCCCTCAGAAAACTTGCACTCTCAAAGGGAGTCACTTAGGTTAGCAGAGTGTCTCATGTCCTGCTTTTGCTTCCTGGGTTCCTGCAGGGATGTCAGAGGTGATGATGGGGGCTCCTTCATTTGACACACAGTGTGGCCTTGATGGGACTTCCTCAGAGACTCTAACTGGAGACTCTCCAGCCCTGTCCTCGGGGCTCCTGGGCTTATGAGCCTGGGCTCAGCCATGCCTCTGCCAGTCTCATTGGTACATTACTAGAGTAGAATACATATATGATAGTGATGGGGGGGGTCCCCAATTTGAGTGGGGGGGGGGGTTCCAGCATCCTGGAGACACAGATGCTGGATATGAGCTGCCCCCACCCCCATCTTCCTAAAATGTCAACCCAACAGTCCCCTCACTCACCCCTCACTTCATTTAGAGGCCCAGGCATATTCTGTACCTACCCCTTGCTCTTGTTCCTGCCCTCTCCCTGACCCTCTGGGACTGGTCTTCTCTGAATTGGTTCTTTACTCCCATTTTCTGATTTGAATAGCCCCCTTGTTGCTTTTTCATGCTAGTGAAACATCCATGACCACTTCAAGAGCAGTAAGTAAGTATTTAGATACAGGTTGGGCAAAGATCATTCTTTACAGATGGGGAAACTAAGGCCCAGGGAGGTCAGCTAGCTACTTCCTGTCAGGACTACCCAGGTCTTATCTCCCTCAGCCCACAATTTTGTATATCAGTCTCAGGAGGAAGGCAGGTTATCTGCCCCTAATTCAGTCTTCCATCTCCCTGACCTGGGCCATCAGCATAGTGTTAAAGAATAAAATTCACAAAGGTCTTAGAGAAAAAAGGTTCATGTTTTATTGCCACTGAGAAACTCAAATTGGGGAGCCCCCCCCTACCCCCCCCCCTAAAAAAAGACAGCCCGGGACTTCCCCCCCCAAAAAAAGACAGCCCGGGACTTCAGGTCACGCATGGAGCAGGTAGAGAAAGTGGCTGGTTTATTCGATGAGGCTGGTGGTCTAGGAATCACCACATGGGTGGGAAGAAGCAAAGGACAGACAGACCAGGTCCCCAACCTAGAAAGAGCAGGTGTCAACACCCAGATCAGGCCTGGCGCGGAGGGAGAGCTGGGGAAGGGGCGCAGTTGGGCTCCTTGATGACCGATGTTTCTCTAGGTCTCAGGCATAGTTGAGAGATTTTCTAGGAGAAAAGAGAAAATGGTAGCATATGACCACTTCCAATTTGTTGAAACCTTTTCTTTTTGTGCTTTTTCACTATTAAAATATATTTATAGAACAAAATAGAAGTGTCCCTGCCCCCTCATTCCACTCTCATTCTCTCTGCTGGGTGGGGGTGGGACACCATTGTGAACAGGTTAGTGGCACCCAGAACTGAATGTCATATTCTTGCACCAAGAGTGAGACTTTCTCTCTGAGCCTCAGTTTCTTCATCTATAACATGTAAACAATTATAGCACCTTTTCCAGGGATTAATAGTATGACACAAATAAAGGGCCAATTACAATGCCTGTCACATTTAAGTGTTTGCTAAGTGGTTGTTCTTTGTATGTGTTTTTGTTTTGTTTTTTAATCTTTATTGTTGAAAGTCGCCTCCACTACAGATGCCCCCTTTTTTCCCACTGACCCCACCACCACCACCACCACCAAGCACCCATCCTTCCCAGGTCTTCCCTGCATTAGTGTCTGTGTCCATGAGCTATGCATATATGTAATAAATCCCCCAATTCATGTCACCCTACCCTCCATCCCTGCCTTCCCTCTGAGATTCCATGTTTCTATGGCTCTAGGTCTATTTTTTTCATCAGTTTATTTTGTTCATTAGATTCCACATATGAGTGAGGTCATGTGATATTTATCTTTCTCTGACTGGTTTATGAAACCAGGCATTCCTTCATAGAGTTTCTGTACTCCCACAGTTCCTTAGTATCTTACCTATTTCACCTGCCATCCCCTCACTTTTGCTGTCCTCTAAAATAGGTTCTGTGGTTCTGCCAAGTTAATCTATTATCTCTGCCCCATTGGGGACTCACTTCTTCTTCCTGCCTCTGACCCTTTACACCTGAAAGGCTCACCTCTCTACAGCTGCCCTGCACAATTCCTATCCCAACCCCTCTCCTTAACTTAGTCTGCCATTCTTCTTCTCATACCTGTTCCTGCATGGTCCCACCTCCAACAGGCCTTCACTCAGCACTCAGAGGTGCTTTCTGAGTAGAGCATATCTTGTAAGTTTTTCTTCACACCCTCACATTGGACTCACCTTCTCAGTACCTTTAGAGTACCCATCCAGAGCAAAACAAGTGCCATGATCCCAGCCCTGCCCCTGGGCGATGGTGCCCAGCTCCTGGATGAAGCTGAGCATGGCTTACTCTAATACTCACCTACCAGAACTTCACCCACTGCAGCAGGCCAGGTTGTGCTCGGGAAGCCTGTGGGACAGAGAGAACGTCTGAGTGGACATCGCACTTCCCCTGCACAACCTCTGCCCTCAGACCCCTTCTCTCACACGCCAATCTTCTTTGCCCCAATACTTACCGAGGAAGAAAGTGTGGCTCCTCCCTGTAAAGAGAAGATCAGAGTAGGTGATAGAGGTGCTACAGGGAACTCTCTAGACTCTGCCTTGGTGCTCAGAAAGGGCTCAGTGGAAGAGGCAAGATCAAACCAGTTTATCTCAAAGCTCCTTTGGTCTGACTGTAGACATTCAGCCCATGGAAGTTTTTTCACAGCAGAATTTATCATTCGAAGTACACATTACCCAAGATGATACTGAATGTGCTCCCTTAGCACACTCTGCCCACAGGAAGTGGATGAGAATAGGTAGGACTCCCTCTGCCTGCAAGGCGGATGGAAATTGGCCACAAATAATTGGCAAAGTGGACACCCACAGGCAGTATGGACTGCCGCTTCACCTGTCAGCACAGAGTTTCTGATCTCTCAGTGGAAGGCTTCTCCTTGAGGACAGGGCTTTATTGTTCTGAGAGGGGGAGGGAAATACCACCTGTTTTTGCCTCACCAGCCCAATTAGTATTTAGCACATTCATTTACTGACTTTGTAGGACTGCTTTCTTTGCAACTGAATGAAACAAAATTCTCAAACGTTCTTCCTTTTAGTTCTTTTGTGGAATGAAACATTTATTCCCACCAACCAAGAGTTCCTGGACAAACCCTGCTGCGCCCATCCTCCTCCCCCTCTACTCCCACCATGCCCAGAAGGTCAGCAGTTAAAGAGGTAGAGAGTGCATACTACAAAGGAAGGTGGCTTGTGCTGCCATGTTTCATGATTTTTCTAAGAAGCATATACTGGTATTTCTCTTTGAGAGGATAGTAGTTTCCAGTTTTCTCCACGATGTAGCTGCTGCTCCCTGTAACCTTTTCTGAATGTGGCTGTAAAGAGCCTTGAACCTACTTCCTTTCTCTAAGAGCAGTTTGGAAGTTCAGGATAGAGGGTATGGAAAGAGATGACTTTCAGAGTGAACAGGATTTGGCCTCAGCTAACCCCCATAGAAGATCCTGGCAGCAAAAGCCTCCCTCCTTCACCTCCATGCAGAGACCCCCAATGGGAAAACAGGACAGTTGCAAGTCTTACCTTAGAGGGAACTTTGGCGGAGTACTGCCCACCAGAAACAGGAGGATATGCCTGCTGGTTATAATTGTAGTTCTGCAGAAGAAAGCAAGGGTTGTGGGCAGTGGGGAGGGTGGGGGCAGCACAGAAGGGATGGAACCATTTTTTCTCTGGAATAAACTTGATTATTTATTCCCTGCCCTGGCTGGACCTTTCTCAAAGCCTCTGCCTTCTGCCCCTCCTCGTGTCAGATGTTTTCTTTTCCAGAATCCCCTTCAGCCATCCACAGCCCACACACTCACCTCCTTATGATCCCAGCCCAAATGGCTCTGCCTTCTTCCCTCTCCTAATTCAAGTGTTACTTGGGAGGTGAGGAAAGAAGACCAAGAAAAGAAATGAGGTCTAACTCAGATGGTCAAGTGGCAGATATCTTACCTTAGAAGTTACAGCTTCTACCTCTGGCCATCCTGCACCAGGCTGAGAAAATTACAGAACAGAGGAGTGAAGGAGGAGAATATGAGGTTGGCCAGACTGAGGAACAAGACTGAGAGACACCGAGGGTCTCCAAGGTCAGTCTGAGGGCAGAGGCTTACCTGACCAGCACTGCCTGCCCTCTTCTGAAGTGATGATGATGAATAGTCATCCTGCAAGAAGGGGGCCACAGTTAGACTGTGGTTCTCAGGCCTCACCAGACTTTTGGGATTCCAACATCCTGCTGCCTGGGTGCTCCCTCCTTTTGGAGCACCAGCATCCCACCTACCCGCCCCGCCCCTCTCAGTAACCCATGAGTGCTGTCCACAGAGAGGACACTGAGCCTAGAGGAAACTGATGGTCCAGATAGATGCAGATGAATAGATTTCCACACTCAGAGTTGGGAAGTGAGGGTAGTGAACTGGGTTTAGCAACACAATCCCCACCCAGGCACCTGGAATGTTGGCAGGCTGGCCTGAGACTGAGCTAGAATGACAAATGTGTGGTGCTCACACGGGCTCCCATGGGGGCAGGTCCCTAAGCCCCAGCCCACCTTTTGCTGATGCCAAACCCTGCTCCCCACATAGGCCCTTTTATCCCTGCTCACAACGTTTTTGTGAGGCAAAGTGGAGTATATAACATTAGCTCTGGGTCAAAGAGAAGTGGAGAAATACAAGGACATAGATGAAGGTACTTAGGACACTGCAGATGCACTACCCTCTCCCTCCCCCAGGTGAGGCAGGGGAAATTCCTAAGCAGTGGGAGAGAAGTTCAGTTCCTTCCATCATCACTTCTCTACTAGGACACACCACCACCTCATACATACACACAGAGGGTTAGGATGTTCTTCTTAACTCTCCACCTCTTCCTCACCTGACATTGAGTTTTAGCCCTAATATTGAGGTCACAAACTGGTCACCACAGACCTCCAGACATTTTTTACATGGTTTGCATTTTTAAAATTGATTTAGTTGTAAGCAACTCAATATCAGATTTCTAACTTTCCTTGAAGAATCAGGTGATATGGTCACACTGGGACTGCATGGTACATGACTACACTCAGTTGGAAGGCCTTGGCCCCTCCTTTGTATGGCCCCACCTGTCCGACTTCATGTTTCTGGCCCATGTAGATGAGTGATTAGGCAACCCTTGCCTTAGTGCCTAAGAGGTCTGATTCCTGGAGGCCACTGGCCATGCAGAATCAGGGTGTGGCTTTCTGGAAGACCCAGAGGTCCTGCCCATCCTTCTCAGAATGCAGAAATTCAGACCCTGTGCACCTGCCTGCGGTTAACAATGACTTGATCCCTCCCCCCAACACCTGCTGTTTCCCTTCAGCTTTCCTCCTAGTTCCCCCTCTTTCCAGTTCTGAGGTCTTGCCTTCTTCCCACCGCTCTAGTCCCCATAACCTGTTCAACCTGCACTACCCACCCAGCTGTGCCTCCTCCCACGCCAGACCAGGCCCACCAGGAGCAGCAGCAGAGCAGAGACAGTGGCCAACTTCATATCCCCGTGCTTGTGAGGGCCCCCACCCTTGGCCTGGGCTTTAATCCTAAGGAGGACCTGCCACCCTGCTCTTTCTTCAGTGACTCACAGACTCTCTCTCCCACCCCACCCCCACTCAGCATTGCACAAAGGAGAGTGGGAAGGGAGGGAGACACCCTCCCTCAGCAGAGAGGGTAAGGAACTGGCACAGAACCTGCAAGCCATTGCCAATGACCCAGCACCCCACATCCCCAGAGCTGAACTTCCTGACCCCAAAACAAGAGGTTCTGCTGCCCTTACCTCAATAATTGCTTTCCAGTTCAAAAAAGGAGTATTGTGTTTGAAATCCTGGAGGAAGAAGGAGAGATTGAGTGGACCACAAGGAGACAGAGGGTGGAGTGTGGCAGCTTATTGGGAAAGTCTCAAGACCATGCACAAGAATGAGTTTTGGAGCCCGGGTGTGGTTGGGGTTAGATGAAGATATGCTTATTAAGGGTATTAGAATTTCTGATGGTATTTGTGATAAGATTTGGATGAGATTGCTCCTCTCCAAAATAAACAGAGGGGGGATTTTGTGACAGGAGCTGGGGTTTGGCTGCCTTGAGGGAGTAGAGAGAGGGACAGGATGACCAGGGTTCTAGTTCTTCAAAAAGTGAGAATTGTCCTACCTCCCAGAGTCGACTGAAGTAGAGGAGGGCTCGAGTGCTGGGGGATGGGACTTGGCCCTGTGGATGAAAGAGGGGAGCAGGTTAGCAGAGAACTTGACCCCCTGATCATCTAAGCCCCTACTCTTGCTCCCACCATTTTTCGGTCTTCATAATTGCACTATGACCAAGATTTAGGGGGAAGCTGGGTGTCTTTAGGGGTCAGAAAACTATATTTGCAAGCAGGGGAAGAGAGAAGCTAAATCTCTGGAGCCATTAACTGTCCTTCCCGCCCCACGCACACAGTGTTCTTCTCTATCCCATTTTCCCCTTCCTCTGGCTGAACATACTGTAGCAAAACCTCAGGACTAAGACCTTCCCACAGAGCTTCCTGCTTTTTCACCTGCCATGTCACCTCCAGCCCATTTCCCAAAGCTGGGGGCTTAAGTTACCCCTTCCATGCCCACTCTGGGGTAACAGTTGAGACGTAAGAAAGGAGCAGACACCAGGAGTGTGGGGCAGCTAAGGTTTATTTCAAGGGCAAAGGTTGAGATTAGTGGTGAATAGTGTTTGTATGTTTGTTTAAGCAGGGGTAGGGGGCTCCCATCCATCTGGTAGCTCCTTGTCTGGAGGTCACGGGATGTGAAAGCTCCTCTCGTCCTGGGCAAAGAAATGGGTTCTAAGAGGGAGCTTGAGAATAAGATTTCATGGAGTAATGGAAAGTCAAGGTGATATTAGACCCCTGCTCTAGAAATCTGCAGGGACATTTTTGAACCACAGCTGTCATCCAGTCGATCCCAGCTTGGGCTTGAAAACTCTCATACCTTGCCAGGAATGTTACGTACAGCTCCCCTGTCTTCACTCCTCATTCTGTAGGAAGTCCTCAGCACCTCACCCTGCACTGTGAAGGACCCAGGGCTCTCCATTCTCTTCTCTGCCCAACTCTGTCCTGTCCCTCTTCTGAGATCTGTGTCTCTGGGAAGTCATCCCAGGTGAATCCTGCCTGACTGCAGGCACTCACTGTACTTCCCCCTCTAGATATACAAAAACGCTTGGCTATCTGTCCTGGCCCTCTGGGAGGTCGTCTGTGTGTGCCCGAAGGTCCCCATGCTCAGGGGTCTGGCTTCCCCACCAGAGACTGTGCTTCTAAACCAGAAATAGTCTATTTTGTTCATTTAGTTCATGAAAACCACACTGTGCTACATCTGGGAACATCTGTATCTTCTGTCTTCCACTCCCCCCTTTCTCAAAGGGCAGGCTTTGACTTTCCTGGGGTTTTCCACACAGGTTTTGGAGGACAGGATCCTAGTCTTCATTCTTTTTAAGTTAAGGCTTATAAACTCAGCTGAACATGGCCAGTCAGGTGGCTAGAATGGCTGTGGTGGGCAGGGGGAGTCTGACTTCTAGAGAGCAAGTCCCCATGGCAAGAAGCAGCAGCTACTCAGCTTTAGTTTATTGTACCTAATGGAACTGTAACCCTCTGTTGACAAATTTTTCAATAGAAGTCAGAAATCCAAGTCATTTTGTGAAGTCTGTCCGTTTTTAAACTTTGGTAACTGATTCATCTTGTGTGTGTTTTTTAATGTATCAAAAAAAATCTCATAATTGGGCTGCCAGTTACAGTTTTTGCTTTTGGTATTTGGGTTGTTTGTCTGTTCTCATACTGTCCTTCCAGTCCACTCTCTACTATTTTGGTGTCACATCGGCTTAGCCAGGGGTTTCCCTACAAGAGGAGGGGGAGGACAGGGTGGAAGAAGAAAGGATTCCTGGGCCCATGTGTCCTCTAATATTATGTAAGTACAGGGCACCCATGAGGCACTCAATATATGTTGGCTTTCTCCTTCCTTTCTCTCTGTGTGTCAGTCCTCGTGTGGCCTTTTAGCTCCACCTGACTATTCAGTCCACTCTCCCACCCGGGCCTCTGCTGCCTCTCTGATTTCCTGAGTATTACACCTACTTACTCTCCCATTAACCTCCAGGTCTCAGAGGGGAAACTGAGGTTTAGAACTGTGCAAGTCTGCATGTTAGGATATGAAAGAGGCCCATTCATTTCCCATTCTCAGTACCCAGCTGTTTGCAAAGTCTCACTCTCTTCATATTTTAGCTGTTCTTACTCCTTGTTTTGTTTTGTTTTGTTTGTTTGTTTGTTTGTTTGTTTAGGGTGGATTTTTGGTGTTTTTTTTTTTTTTTTTTTTTTTTTTTAGCATTATCCAAAATGCTCTTCATGGCCATCATCATTTCACCTGGCTTAGAGGTTTACCTTTCTTCTCTATATATATTCCTCTCCCACAAAGGTCATATGACATGGCCTTCCAGCCCTTACCTTGTTTATGGCATCCCAGTTAATGAAACCCAGCTTGGATTTAAAGTTCTGCAAAGAAGAGGAGAAAAAAAGGAGAATGGCCAAATTGGATCATAATAATGTAATTGGCTCGGGGCTTCGGGACAAGAGAGGTCAAGGACCACCATTGACAAAAGTTCTTAAAAAAAGGACTTCATCCTGTGAGGTCAAGGGGACAGGGTTTTGGTTTTCCAAAAGAGAATAAATGACCAGAGCAATCTTGCTGAACTCACCTTCCAGAAAGTGTCGAAGTTGAAGAGCCCAGGAGATGTCTGAGAGTTCTAAGGAACCAATGAGAAATAGGATGCGAGTAAGAACACACTTTGTGAGCAAGAGGCAGGGGCTGGAGCAATGGATGTCTGGAGGGTCCTAGCTTGAGGTGGGGTGATGCCTCCACTCACCAAATTATCGATTCCACCGACAGCTTCACCTCCCCCACTGGACCCTTGCCCCTGGGTGGGGAAAGGGGACTGGTGTTCAAGGCTCATGCATCTTGTTTTGCATACCACCTATCAGGCTGCTCCTGGCCCACTCATCTTTGCCTTTGCTCAAGCACCATGCACCCTCTGTAAAGCCACCTCTCTTCTTTACACAGCACCTAAGAACCCTATCTCCAGAAAGCCTTCCTGGAATGACTCATTATTTGCTGCCTAGAATAACCCTACCCACTCCCTAATATATAGCCTCACTGTGCTCAAGCACTGTGCCTTATCCTGCCATGTCCTTTGTGGAGATGTCTCCATTTGACAGATGAGGAAACTGACACTTAGCGCTGTCCAGCAGCTTGCCTCAGATCTGTCTCCATGCCAGACTTCAGTGTCTGGATCTCGGCCCCCTGGTCAGATTATGATGCAGAAAGCTCTGCAGTAGCTGTGGGGGTGAGAAAGTTGGGCTTCATGGTGCCCTTTCTACCCACGAGAAAGGCCAGACTCACAGAGGTCAACTGACTTGCCTGAAGATTCACAGATGACAAGTGATCTCCCTTTGTAACTCCAAGTTCACTGCCTTTATGCTTTTCAACACTGCCTTCTTAAATATGATTTTTAAAATCCCCCTTAGCTAGCCATTCTTCTGTTATTTTAATCTATTTTTTTCTTACAGAGGTAATGGTACTGTGATTGCAGTTGGAAGAAGGGAGAGAATGGATGAATCAAGGAGAATGACAGGGATCCTGTACCCCTATTGGTCTCCTAGTAGTCACCTGACAGATTCAGAGAAGCTGGCAAGAAGAAACTAATATTTCTCTTTCTTTCCCCAGGCCTTTGGCATTCTATCCCCACTCTCCACCATCCCTTCTCCTAAAGACATCCCTGCTCACCTGATAATTGCCTTGGGAGTTCCCAATGAGGCGACTACCTTCCTTGCTTATTCCCTAAGGAGAGAGAAAATATAGAAGAGTTGGTGGGGAGGTAGGCAAGATGGGAGGTGAGATGTAGGTGAAGGATTCCTGAGTCAGGGGACTGAGGCAGGAGCACAGCTGAGTCCTTCCCAGGACCCCAAGAGAGGCCCTTCTCTCTGGGTAGCTCTATCTTTCCTGGCAAATCTTGTTTCACCCCCTTGTGGATGCTCATTGGTACCATCACCATCTGTTTTTTTTCTGTCTGCAAGCTGTCCACAATTCAGTAGGAAGGACCTTTGCCACCAAGTAGGAACCAGCCAGGCTGCTGTACTGAATTAATTCAAAATTCAGGCTGGGCCAAAACCGGTTTGGCTCAGTGGTAGAGCATCGGTCTGCAGACTGAAAAGTCCCGGGTTCGATTCCGGTCAGGGGCATGTACGTTGGTTGCAGGCATATCCCCAGTACTGGGTGTGCAAGAGGCAGCTGGTCGATGTTTCTCTCTCATCGACGTTTCTAGCTCTCTATCTCTCTCCCTTCCTCTCTGTAAAAAAAATCATAAAATATATATATTTTTTTAAATGCAGGCTGGCTGATGTTTTGCTTTAGTCAGGAAGGTGATGCCAGCTGGAGAGTCCCTGGGAGAAGAGGCGGCACAGAAGTCAACTGCTAGTCTCCTCCTATGGCAGAGGTCAGATCCTTTTGAGATCTGCTTTTACTGTTTGGTATGGATCCCAAACCCATCTGCATCTCTTCATTCCCAGAGCTAAAATCTAGACTGGCTGGGAATTGGGACTGTCTGCCCTGTTGGTATTGCTGCTGCCACCATCCCTACTCTCCTTGCCTTGATGTCGCCAGAGCTGCCAGGGCCTCTGAAGCCCTGAGGGACAAGACAGTGAAACACAGCTCATTGTTTAACTAGGTCCATCCCTGCAAATTCCTGTGTGACTTAATAGGATTCCTCTTAAAATCCTAATGGAAATCTCTTTGGAACCTGTCAAAATCATCTTGAAGTTCATTTGGAAGAATAAATGCCTACAAATTGGTCAGAAAACACTAGAAAAGATGAGCAGATATTAATGTACTATAAAGCTACCATGAACAAAACTGTGGTTTCTGTCCCAGAACAGATCAATTTAACAAAATAGAACTCCCAGAAGCTCTCCCCAAATATTAAAGTATATATACATGATGTTTTAAATCAGTGGTAGAAACAATTCAACACACAGGGCTGGGAATAGCAGTTATGTATTTTGGGGGGGAAACTTATTTATACCTCACAGTTTCCTCCCTTCTATTTTTATATGATTGTCACTTCCTACGGCAGCACACAAATCTAATCCAAAGTGTAGGTAGGGCCTGCCTAGTTGGATCCAGGAGTGGTCTAGACAATATATACCAAAATACTGCCCAGGTAGGTTAAAGAGTTAAATTTAACAATGAAATTACAGAAGTAATAGTAATGCTAGAAGAAAATAAAGACCTTTATTAATATCCCCAATATCTTAGGAGCTCTTCAGAGAGCCTTGTCAATGTAGCGTCATAGGGTTGTGCTCCTCGCCCTGCATGCGACACTCACACCAGGTGCTGCTGCTCTGCACCAGCCTCCCCCAGAGCTGATTCAGAACCCGCATTTTCACAAGACCTCTGGGCCATTTGTGGGCACCTTAGTGTGGCACTTCCTCTGTCAGCGCTGCAGGTTCTGACAGAAAGCCCAGATTTCCAGAATAACTAGGAGGGGGATGCATGCTTTCAAAAACACCGTTTCAAACCAATGTCAAAGGGTTTACAAATTGTTTTCACTAGCCAGGCACAGGACATTTGAAACAATTATGTTTCTAAAAGCAATGGTCTTCAGGTGATTTTTACAGCCCCGTCTGTGGGGGTATGTCACATAAGAATTTGCAATTAATTTTTCCCTTGGAGATGGTTAGTAATTTTTGTGCTTGGTCTCTGCTCCTAAATTGTAATTCCCCCAGTCGGGGTTGAAGTGAAGATTAGCATTAGGAGTGGAGAGCAGAGCTGGGTTATAAGGAGTGGGCACAGTGGCAGAGATGAACTGTGGTAACCACAAGTTTGGCTCTCACCTGAGCCCCAGATCCTCCAGCCACTCGGACTTCATTTCCTGGGTTGTCACACTGTGAGCGAGAGAAAGAGAAGACTTGCTCTCAGTCCCTACCCAGATGCCAATTCCAGTCCTCAAGTTGCAGCCTTGTAGCCCTGAAGTTCATGCACATCAGCCTCACCCCAGCAGCGGTCCGCCCCATGCTCAGCCCCAGCGGTCATTCTCCCAACATCCACAGGGCCTCCTCTTTTCCTTCCCACGGTTCCAGTTTCAGGGAGACCCGTGCAGGTGCAAACCATAGACACTCACCCCGGGTTTATTTCCACCACTTCCTCCACTGCTTCCTGAGGAAGAGCTGGAACCATGTTCCTACGAGGGAAAGCCAGAGTCCATCTGTTGTCATCAGGGGACTTGGAAGGGACCAAATGATTCCCAGATTCCCAGCCACGTTAACCCTCTCTGCCCGCCCCCTATCTTCAGCCAGTCGTTCACCGCGGGAAGTTATGGAAGCACAGGGAGGACTAGGTGTGGCCAAGTGCATTTGGGGATGTGGGTCACTGGGGGATTCTGAGCTGTTGCTCCCACTTCCCACCACATGCCAGGGGTGGAAGGCCTCTGGAGCCCAACTGCACAAAAGTCCCCTGACACGCTGTTGCCGCCTCGTTCCCCCTGCCCCCATCCCTCCTCTCCCCTGGCCCTCTCCTGGAACCTAGCAAGGGGGAAGCACCACTGGCAGGGAGCCTGAATTTTCTAAGGGAAAACTAGATGGGGTAAAAGTCGGTAGTACAAGGAGCAGTAAATTACAGCAGCTATGTTATCTGGCTTGCTCTAGTTGCCTCCCTCCTCTTGCCCGACACCTTTCCCAGACTCCGAAGGAAGCCAGCAGTGTTCTCGCTCTACAGGCCCCCCTCTTGGAGGTCCTGCCTAACCCAGCGGGCAGGCTGTGGTCCCTTCCTGGTCCTTTCACCATCAGGAGGGGCCTCACGTGCAGCATGTGTATTACTTTGCCTGTACCACAGCCCTGTAATGTCTTAAGTCTCCATGTGTGCAGGATTGCCCCCACTCTCCCAGGAGCATCCCTAACAAGTATTATGTTGTTCCATGCCCATCTCCCTTCTTCCATTCAACACCCCCAGCTGTAGTCAGATTTCCCAGTGGCCACAACTGCAGGAATAGGGGCTAGACAGGAGAGAGAAGATCCCCACCGTGATGCAGCAGAGATAAGGAATAGAATGAGCAGAAGTAGGGAGGGCACCTCTTCTGGAAGCCTGCGTGATGGGGCTGGGAAGGTGGGAAACAAAGTGAAGAAGCCACAGGATGACCACTGCCAGTGATGCCACCCACCCCAGGGCTGGCCGCTTCCATTCAGGAAGGCTTTGGAGCACATGTCCTCAGCCGGGACCTCCACGGGCCTCAGCCTCATCTCTGCCTTCAACATAGGAGCAGAACTCACCCAGTTGCCTCCAGAACTGCTGCCGCTGCTGCTGCCACCACTGCCTCTGCCTCCGCTGCCGCTACTGCCACTGCTGCTGCCACCACTGCTGTCACCACTGCTGCTTCCACCACTGCTGCTTCCACCACTGCTGCTGCCACCACTATTGCTGTTGCCACCGCTGCTGCCGCTGCCGCCGCTGCCGCCGCTGCCGCTGCCGCCACCGCTGCTGCCGCCGCTGTTGCCGCCACTGCTTCCCTGAGGGACAGAGGAAGCACTAAAGGTGAGAACACCATTGCTTTCCCCATCCCTTTGTTCTGCTCAGGCATATTCCTGCCCAGCCTGAGAAAAGAGTTCTGTTTTCTCCCTGTGCCACACACCCTCCTCTTACCCAAGAGTTGCTAGAGCTTCCACCTGAGCCGGAGGGCGGAGAGTTGGTGCACTGCAGGAAAAAGCGGACAGGCGAGGGTGAGGTTTCAGTGAGGGCCACCGCCACAGGCCAGGCTCTCCCTGCCAACCCCGCAACCCCCATCTCACTGACATCCCCTCTCCCTTGTCTCCTCTCCATGCTCATCTCTCCCTGGCCAACGTGCCTCCCATCTTTTTTTCCTCTTTGTCTCTCCTACTTCTGTCACATGCACCTGACACTCTCTTCTTCCCCCCCGAGTCTTCCTCTTACCTCAGTATTTGGATTGTTGTTGCCCCTCACTGAGCCATAACCAGGTTGGGCCACAGCTCCCTGCAGAGAAGGTGAGACTGAGTACGGGATCTGAAGGCGGAGGAAGGCATGAGAGTGTGGGGTTAAAGGGGTGAATAATCAGGGCTGGTTGCTTACTTTACCTGAGCGTTGGTCCCCACGTTGTATGGCCCTCCATTGCCTCCTTGGCCCCAGGAGCTTCCTTGAGAGTTAGTTCCAAAGTTGCCACCTGAGCCTCCAGAGACTCCATGGATCCAGGGATTCCCTGGACCTTCAGGAATGCTCTGGCTTTGGGCTCTGAGGCCATCCTGAGAACCAAAGGTGCTGTGGCCTCCAGATGGAGGCTGGCCATTGGTTCCCTGCAAGGACAACATACATGCACTTAGTGTGTGGGACCTTTATCACTCGTAACTGGGTAGGACACGCAGAGCAACTGAGATAAGAGAAGAGCCAGAGCAGGGAATAAGGAGAGGCAGGGAAAGACCCCAGGGTGGTAGAGAGAGGATGCACAACAAGGACAGGAACTGCCCCAGACAGCCGCAAATAAGACTCCTTCTTTTCCCATTGATTCCCAAGATTCTCAACCCAGCTTCCTACAGTCTCCCATTTCCACACCCAGCTTCCTTCCAGCCACTCACCCAAGCACTGTTGCTGCCAGGCATCCCCTGCCAGGAGCTGTGGGCAGCATCTATTCCATGTCGAATAATGTTCTCAGCCTGTCTGCCAGCCTCACTCCCAGTGTTTCCAAGAGCATGGGCTGCCTCTCCAGCCCCTTGGTCAATGGCCTCCCTGATTCCATGATTAATGGCATCTCCCACTGCCTGTCCAGCAGCCTCCCCAAAACCTGTTTCAGCGCTTGCCCCTCCACTCAGCAACGGGCCAGCCTCCCCACTGCCCAGGTACAGGGCCAGCAGGAGGCAGGCCAGGGACCCCTGTAACTTCATCTCGGCCTCACTCCTTCTCCCTCCTAAGTGTCTTTTTCCCACCCACGTTTCCTTCTGTCGGCCCTTTCTCTGTGTTCGTGTGCCCTCCTCCGTTCTCTTCTTCCTTCTGACTTCTTGTTCTAACTCCTTCTAGGTCTGCAGCCTACTCTCTCCTTTCCCAGACTCCCCTGCCTTCCCAGAGGCCTCCTCCCTGCCACTACTCCTTATACTGCAGCTTGGGAGAAGGTGACGGGGGCTGGGCAGCCCGGAGTCCCTCCTCCCAGTGACTCAAGGCCAGCACTGATAGGGTAATGAGCTGTAATTGTGAGTCTGAAAGTCTGTGTTGAAACAGAGAGGGAGCCCATGCATCAGGGAGGGAGAAATGGAATGAGATGGCTGCAAAGTGTTCTAGTTTCCCAACAAGAGGAATTTGGGGCACAGGGTGGGGATGGGGGCATCTGAGGAAATAGTCTATTGGTGTCTCCTACCACCTCGGTAGGCGGAGGGAAATCACAGGACGGGCCCCACCAGTGGGGCAAGGATACGAAACTCAGTGGGGAAGGGGACAGGTGAGTTAGGTGTAAGCTAGCCTAGGTCGGGGGTATAAGAATGGCGATAGGTGACCTTTTTCTCAGTTTAAGTTAGCCTTTGCCTCTTCCATTTCTCTTCTCCCCCGGGCTGCCATCTAAAGGTGCCTGCCCTCACCCTCTCCACAACTCCAGAGAGCCTGGGAGCTGAGACTGGCCTCAGGTTTCAGTAGGGACCCCAGCCCTCCAGGAAGGAAGTGGCCACGACCCTGAGAGTGGTCATCAGGGTGTCGCAGTTAACATCCTGGTGGCTCTTGGCTAACAAAGCTGGGTGTGGAGCGGGGGAGCTGGGCGGGCCAGCCACCCCCAGGGAATGAGTGGGAGGCAAGACCTTGGGAGGGAGCGGCTGACCCAAGCACCCATCCTGTTTACCTGTTACGGAAGGGACACGTGTGTGAGTTCATCGCCTCCTGGAAGGGCTAGGACTGCATCAGCTCATTCCACCCACCCTCAGTCCCTCCCCAACCCCCCCCCCCCCAAGGAACCAGGATGACCCTGGCAAGGGAGGAGGGGTCAGCACAAGAGCAGGTGCCCTAAGTCAGCAGCATGATGCTCTGCGGGTCCCAGCTCAGGATGCGGAACTTGGTCAGATCTCATCCCTGCTTAGCAAGCATGGCTGCCTCTGTACTCCCAGGATCCAGGCCCTCCCACTTGCCACTGCCTTGTATCACCACGACTCATCACCCAGTTAGGAGGGGTCAGTTTCCATCTGCCTTTCTCAATGTCTCCCAGTCAGTCTCTCTCTCCGCCCCAGCACCCACACCCCAACTTGTAACATTTAACACCTCTCACCATGTGAAAACAATCCCTGTCTGTCCTCAGCAGCTCCTACCTCCCTATTATTCCATCTCTGACTCTTCAGTGATGATAATAAATGTGGTGGTAATAATAATAATTGCAGCTCCAATCTATCAAGGGCTTTCTATGTGTCCGGCACTGGACTACACACTTTAAGACACAGACAGTCCTGGAGATCGGTCTTATTATTACCCCACTTAGAGTTGGAGAAGTTGGGGTTCAGAGAGAACATGTGAATGTTTGGTAGAGCAAAACGCAAGGCCAGCCTGCCCCACTCCTAAGCCCTGGCCCCCAGCATTTTGTCACCTCAGTATTTCAGACCTCCCCCTGCTTTTTAAAACCCTCATTCTTCCCTGGATATAATTGGTTTGGGTTTTGTCCTGGCATTTTGGGGGGGAGGGGGCGCAGGAAGAGCAGGAATAAATCTGAGGCCTCCAGGATTGGTGGTGGAGCCCCAGCCCTGAGCCTGCTGCTTCCCATTTGCTGAGGATAGGACCTTGGCAGGCAGCAGAGCGACCACTGACTCAGACTCCTTGCCACACTTCCTTCATGGGACACACCTTCACAATGGCATACATCCGCCCTCTCCCTTCTTTGTTGCTAAGACTTTTCTTTAAGCTAGCTTACTTTCTTAATACATTTTAAGAGAATATTTTATATTGCTTCTGGAAGTAGAAAGCCAGAATCACTTGCCCATAGATAGAAAGTACCAGAAAAACAGAGAGAGAAGCAAACAATGGTGTTACATTACAGATGGCTGCAGTTTCTGCATCCTCTTTATTAGCAAGTATTAGAGAGATGTTTAAGGCATACCAGCACACAATTGAGTCTTCCTCTCTAACAAAATCAGAAAGCTTCAAAGAAAATTAAGAGTTTCTCACTGGGTGGTTCAGTGATCTAAAGCCATGATCACAGACCACTTAAATTTTCTTCTGCCACCAGCGGGTTCATGTTCTACATTCTGAGAAAAACTACCTCAGACATTCTGTACCTGAGCAGTCTCCTCAAATCAGTCTTAAGGCCTAGTTATTATATACCCAGTCCAATATATGATGTGGTGCCTTCACATGCATGATCTTATTTAATCCTCGCATAACCTCAGGAAGGAGGTTATTCCCATTTTGCAGATGGGATAACAGGTTTTTTAGTTTTAAACACGTACACAGGAGCATATGTGAAAAAATTATGGTAAAATGGAGTTGTCAGAATTTCACCCAAGTCTGTCTGACTCCAAACAGCTTTTTGTCAGAATTTTACCCAAGTCTGTCTGACACCCCACCACCACCACCTCACCATGCCTCCTTTGTTTTGTATATGATAGCATCCACAAATCTGGCATGCCTGCATCATGTTCACGACCTTCTGGTTTCATCTTTTCTCTCTCGTGCACCACTTTATTCATTCAACAAATATTTATTGAGTACCTACCCTGTGCCAAGCCTGTTCTAGGCACTGGGGATACCATGTGGAACAAGATCATCATAATCTCTTTCCTTAGAGAGCTCACATTCATTGTGGGGGAATTTGGACAATAAACATATCAGGTGGTGATGAGCACTATGAAGGAAAACACAGTGGAGTGAGGGAATAGAGAAGACAGAGTGGGTATTTTAAATAGGGTGATTAGGAAAGGGCTCTTTGAGATGTCACCTATGAACTGAAGCCCAAAGGAAGTGGGAAACTGGGCCATGAGGGTATCTGGGGATAGTGTATCCCGAGCAAGGGAATGGTAGTGCAGAGGCTTTGAGGCTGGAGCAGGGGGAAATGGGAGGAGTTTATATCAAAGAGGTAACCATTTTTAAAATAAATTTATTGGGGTGGCATTGGTTAGTAAGATCATATAGGTTTCGGATGTGAGGGCGATCTGGCTGCGACATCTGTCACCCCATTGATCGCCAGGGTTGATTTGGCTGATCTGGCTGGTTAGGCGGGTGTCCCCCTCCTCCCTCACCAATCCATGTGCATCCCTCCCGAAGCTGCGCGCTCGAAGAGGACGACTTTTCCCCAAGAGGAGAGGACCGGTCTTCGGTCAAGGGTATACGAGTAGCTGTGCTCCCCTGCTAGAACCTCCAAACAAGCTCTCAAGATCATATAGGTTTCGAGTATACATTTCTATGGTACATGATCTATATTGTGTGCCCAACACCCAAAGTCAAAGCATCTTCTGTCACCATATATTTGGCCCCCTTTACCTTTTATTACCCTCACCCCTTCCCTCTGGTAACCACCATACTGTTGTCTGTGTCTATGAGTTTCAGTTTTATATCCCACATATGAGCGAAATCATATGGTTCTTAGCTTTTTGTGACTTACTTATTTTGCTTAGTATAATATTCTCAAGGTCCATCCATGTTGTCACCAAATGTCAGTATTTCATCTTTTTTTATGGCTGAGTACTACATTTTCTTTATACAGCCCCCTATTAAAGGACACTTTGGTTGTCTCCATTTCTTGGTCACCGTGAATGATGCTGCAATGAACATAGGGGTGCATATATCTTTGCAAATAAATGTCAAGTTTTTCGGGTAGATACCCAAGAATAGGGATTGTTGGGTCATGTGGTAACTCTGTTCTTGATTTTTTTGAGGAACCACCAGTCTTCTTTCCATAATGGTTGTACCAGTTTACATTTCCACCAGCAGTGAATGAGGATTCCCTTTTCTCCACAGCCTCTCCTACACACATTATTAGCTGTCTTGATGATAATAGCCATTCTTACAGACACAAGGTGGTATCTCATTGTAGTTTTGACTTGCGTCTTCCTAATAGCTACTGACATTGAGCTATATCTGTGGGGTATTTGTATATCTTCTTGGGAGAGGTGTCTGTTCAAGACCTCATTCCATTTTTTAATTGGATTGCTTGTTTGTTTGGTGTTTTATATATTTTGTGAAGAAATAACCATTATGAAGACTTTGACTTTATCTGATTGAGATGGAACCAGCTGAGGGCTTGGAACTGAGGAAGGCTGTGATCTGACTTGGGTGTGAACAGGGCTCCTCCAGGGAATAGACTGTTGTGTGGAGAGAGGGGAGGACAGAGATCAGGCAAGGGGCTTGAGGATGGCGGGTTCGGAGGTTGGACTCAAGTATAGAGAGGAGACGAGGCCTTGGGTCTGGGCAATGTTTCTGATCCCTTCTATGGGATCCTAGGCCTCAAACTAGTACCTACTGGCTCATCCCTTCCACAGTGTCTGTCCTGGAGTCTAGGTTGAAATTCTAGCTCCACCACTTACTAGCCATAATTTAAATCCATCTGTATAACAATTTCCCCATCTGTAAGAGAGGTGAATGTGAGAATTAAATGGGGTAATTGATGCAAAGAGCTTAGAGCAGTGCCCAGCAAACATATATGTTGGGCGTGTTAACGTTGTTATTGTAATGCTTTCTCAGCAGTTGTTTAATTTTGAGACATACACATGCACTTCCTGAAAGAGACAAATATAGAAACTTATTCTCAAAGAGGACTTACTTTGAAGCAGCAGGGTTCCAGGGAAGCATGCCACCTCACTAGCAGAGATCACCAGCAGGGAAGTGCTCTTAAGAGGGACCGTCATCACCACTTACTAGCTGAGTGGCCTCAGGCAACTCTCTCCCTTCCTTGAACCCAAACTTTATCATCTGTGAGGGGGATAATCATGGTACCTTCCTCATGGAGAGGTTGTGAGGATGGAATGAATCATGTTTATAAGTGCTTAGCATAGACATAGTAAGCACCCAATGAAGATGGCTGTCCAGTCCCGCCCAAACTCCTCTCCTTGTTCTTCCACATCTGCAGAAACTGGCACCTCCCGTCCCTGTTAGTCCCCAGCCTGGCTCTGCCTACCTGTGTCAGGTGCCTCATTCTTGCTCACACTTATTCCAAGGCCTTTCCCAAGTCTGCTCAAGCTTTCCTTCTACCAGTTGTCAGCCATTTGTGCCTAGCCTGGACCTTTTCTTTTAAACCTCAGTCTAGACACTAGAGGGAAAATGGATATAAAATAAGTAAATACAGGGTGTCCGTAAATACATATATATTGTAACAGCTGATTGCTCAATTTGAAAATGAAATGTATTTTGATAAACACTGCCTTTATAGTTATTCAAAGTTTGTGTATACATTTTGGGGGGACATCCTCTATATAATTACAAATTGTCATATATGCTATGAAGTAAAAAGCAGTGTGCCATGAAAAAGAATAACAAAGGTGGTCTTATGTTCAGATTGTGTGGTCTAGGTAGCTGAGACCTAAAGAGGAGGAACTAACATAGGGGACAAAAGGGACATGGAGGTTTGTACCTCTAATTCCCCTTCACCTTTTTTACCTATGCTCCCACCCCTTTCTCCTCTGTCAGCTACCCATTTGTCCTTTGTACCTATGTGTGTTTCTGTTTTGTTTGTTAATTTGTTTTGCTTTTTCGATTCCACATGTACTGAAATCTTACCATATTTGTTCTTCTCTGACTTATTTCACTTAGCATAATGCCCTCTAGGTCCATCCATGTTGTTGCAATGATCAACTATACTTTAATTTCAAAGGGAAGATCATATAGAGAATACTCCTAGCCGAGTGAACCGCATGCAAGGCCTCAAGGCAAGAATGTGCCGTGCTTCTTTTACTCTTCAAAACCAGATACGATCTTTTTTTCCAGAAGCCTCCCAGGGTTGACTCCCAGTGCATAATATCCCATGCCTCTTTGGCAAATAAGCCCAGTAAAAAAGAATGTGCATACAAATAACCAGTGAAAGTTTTTATTTTATGAAAGGATAATTCCCTTGAGTATTCCCTTTTTGGAAGGAAGTCCTCCAATGTCCAGCACAGAGCAGACTTTCGGTAATGTGTGCTATGAATGAATGCTTCTCTTTTTTTAAAATGCAGGAAATGGATGTCTAAAATTTACTTTGAAATGCATAAAAATGTATAGATAGATGGTTAGATGGAGAGATGTGTGTGATGAATAGATGTGTGATAAAGCAAGCATAGCAAAATGTTAGTGGTAAAATCTAAAGAGTGGGTATGCAAGTGTCCACTCTAAAGTTCTTTATCTTTGTGCTAAATTTGAAATATAGAGAGTTAGGAACATCACCTTTATCATGCACACCCTCCCTGGTGTGTCATTTGTTCTTACTGCTGCATTACTTTGCATTTGTTTTCATATTCTGTACTATGCCTGGTCTCTTCAGAAAGCCTGTAAATTACAGGGCAGAACACTGTCTTCCTTTTTTTTCTTTTGGTCCCACCATTGATGGAATTTGATGCTGGAAGCCATGCTTATAGTCCTCTTCTGCAGGCAAGCATCCCTTCTTTATATAGGAGGAAATTAATGGTCCCTGTGGAGGCAGAGGATCCTGATTGGAATGCCTGTCTCCCAGCAGGGTATGGCAATAGAAAGGCCTGCTGCTTTCTCATGGGTTACCTGGGGCAAGTGCTCTGCCCCTCTGAGCCTCAGTTTCCTCATCCATACAATGGGGATTATAAGAGGACTTATGCCTTTGGGTTGAGAGAGGTTTAAATGGTTACAGAGCATGAACACTCTTCACAGTAAATGCTCAGTAGATAGTAATTGCTATGATGATTCAGAGGCATTGAGTTATCCACGATCTGATACTAGGCCTCCTCAGTCACCATTATTACCTTTGTAAAGAAGCTCTCCCTCCTGTCATCAGTGTGCCTTTCCCCCTGAACCTTTGGACTTCCTCCCGGAGAGGGGATCTCCCAAATGTATGTCTTTCCTCTCTCCTTATTCACCGATTCCCATAGCTACTGATGCCGAACAAGGAAAGACCTCTTTGTTTTAGAAAATCCCTTGTAGCTGTTAGGCTGTTTCTCTCTCCAAATACTAGTCATGTTTCTTAACCTGTGCAAGCCTCTACATGCTTCTCAATAAAATGGGCAATAACAGTATCTCTTACCTAACTGGGTGGTTGGGAGACTTCAGTGATGTCATGCATGTAAAGCACTCGCCCGGGAGCCTAGCAGGCCTAACTTGCATAGTAAATCCAAGTAATCATTGTTATTCCTTTGGCACAACATCCCCTGAATGAAGATGCTGAGATGGTTTCTGCCATCTCTTCCCTGGTGTTTCTGCCCCCACTACTGGCCTGAAGTGGCTTTCTTTCATGATGCTCCTCACAGCACTGACCATGAACCTTGCACACTAATGGAACTCAGTTTGTCTCTCTAACAGCCTTCCTAGATCTGATCAGTCTGAAATCTCTAGCTCAACCTGTCCTGTGCATCAGACCCCCAGCTCTCAGCAAAGAAGCCAGAAGAGAAAAGAAGCCTCCCGTCACATTCCTCCTTAGGAAGCATGTGGACCAGAATGAGAGCATGTAGTATCATATTTATTCACAAATCTCAATACAGTTCCCTCAAGGGACTCCCAAAATCTACCCGCCTCCCATCCCTAGCTCTTCCAAGGCATTTCAGCTGATATGCCAACAGGAAAGCCAGTCTGCTCAGCAAGCCAGTGCATCAGTTTAGGGAATGATGTTGGCGACGCTCTGGAAGAGAGAAGGAGATAGGGAGTGAATGCAGGGTATGCAGTCATAAGGGTATTGAGACCTTTGCCCTCACATCCTTCCCTAGGGAAATGAGAGGGAGATTGGCTACTTTGGCCCAGTAATTGCCTATATTCTATAGAATATCTTTAGGAAGGTAGCAACAAATTGAGAAAGAACAGGGATCCAGTACTCCAAGGCAGAGACACCAAGAGGGGCACTTTGTAAGAACTGAAAGTTCTTACAAAGATTGCCTGCTTTGCCTCTTGGCAGAGAATCCCCTGCCACCTCATAGCCTGGGAATAAGCAAGTTGTGCCTTTGGGTTTTAGGAGCAGTCTTAAGAGCTGTGACACACTCTTACTCTCCGCCCAGCCTCAGGCAGCTGAGGTACACAGCCAGGACTTTACTTTGGACCAGGATCGCACAGGGGTCTTTATTCAGGGAAAGGACAAAGCTACAGGTTCCCACGACCCAGTATATTGCTGCATGACAGCAGGGATGCACAGCAGAGGTGTTTACAGCGGGTTTGGGTAGGGAAGGAGTCACAAAAGAATTGATGTGGAAAGATGGTGGGCACATGGAGGGGATGGTTTCAGCCACCCCTCTCTCGCTGGCTCACAGTATATGCGCCCCTGGAGGTCTTTTCTGCCAGCTGTTTGCTTCAGTGGGAATGAAAAACACCCAAGAGATAAAAGCAGGATGCAAAGGGCACAGAGCAGGTGAAGAAAGGGACAAGCAGGGTTGGGAAATGGGTTGCATAGTCTCTGAAAGGCTGAGCGTCTGGCCACAGTAAAGTTGTCTATGAGCAGGCAATGGGAAGGGCAATGTACAGACATCTCCCAAGACGAAGAGCGGAAATCTAAAACTATGTGGACACTTACCCTCCATAGAGCTGGAAAGCTGATGAAGGGCTTGTTGACCGAAGCCTGGAATTCAAGGACAAGGGAGTCAGTGCCCATCACCCTCTCCAGCACCATCTCAGAAGGGCCTCCATCCCCCACTTCCAAGTCTATACTCTGCTTGTGAGACTTACTCCAGATGTTAAGGTTGTGGTTGCGCCCCCTCCGTGATGGCCGGTGGATCCGCCTTGGTGACCGCCCTGTTGACAAAGCCCAGACCATCATTACAACCCCTCAATGCTTGAGGGTCTCCCAAGTTCCTTTTCCCCAGTTAACAGCTATTCTCTAGGGTGACTAACCACTATCCCCTCACTGTCCAGAAATAAACCCAAAGGCCTAGTTGCTGTGGTCATTTTGTAGGAGATGGGAAGAAATGCAGTAAGGGTGTCTGCCCCTACTGACTATTCTTCCCCCCATTCTCTTTTATTTTAGTTAATGAGATGCTTTCAGTCATTAGAAGGGTCCTGACTAGAAAGGGAACCCAGAGGACCCACACAAATGCCAAGACCATAGTTAATCTCAGCCCTGACCTTAACTCTACCCCTTTACATACACTTGAGCCTGATCCCTAACTCAGGTTGATCCCTATCTTCAATCCTATCCCCAGATACTCAGCAGTGCCACTCTGCTGCCGCTTCTAGCCTGAAGCCTTATCACAAACCTCCCTCTCCTGGTCTCTACATGGTGAATCTTGCTGTCTGTCTCAGCCCTTTCCCCTACCATGCATGCTTTCTACATAGACCCTTCCTCCTCACCCACATCCCTGGCTCCCTGCCTGGAAGCCAATGTGGTTATAGGCTTTGAGGCTTAGGCCAGTCCCTCAAGATAGTATCCTAAAGACTCCTCATGGAAATTACGGAGTGGAGAATTGAGGCAGGCAGGAGTCCTCCTTCTATTGCCAACTCCCTCCTGCGTGCCTGTTCAGCTATGCATAGTGCTACTTGCCTCTCCTGTCCTCCAGTACTTGCTCCCTCTACCTGAATGAGGTTCAGAAACCCTCCAGGATACCTACTCCGATGAGGCAGTGTGGAGGAAAGAACCTGGGCCTGTGATTTGCCGAAGATGTGTGCTAGCCACAGGACCTTGGCAAATCCCCTTAAACCTCACTGAGCTCCAGTTTTCTCATCTGAGAATCAGGGAGTCAAGATAGCCTCCTCGCCCTGACAACCTCAAAAGCTCATCATGAAAGTTAAACAAAAAAGGGCATATCTCCACAGCTATTCCTCATGCTCACACTCAGATGTTCTGCCTTTTCTCAATGCCCATCTGCTCCCACAGTCACAGGTACTGGCTCAGTAACTGACTCCTGTTCCCCAGGAGAGGCTTCAAGTTCCTCCCTCCAGACCTCCTCAACTAGAAGGGCAGCTCCCAGAGATGGGGCTGGGTCACATTCACACTATCTGGTTTAAAGCTTTGCAGGTAAGATGGATGGATCCATCTGAATAGCTCACCAGCAGCTCCTTTATAAAGAAGAATAGGGAGGAGGGCATGGTTATACAGCTGCCTAAGCTTCTTTCACCACATGCAGGCTACCTGGGCTCCCCCAAATGTCTTAAAGGTTTAACCTTTCCCTCCCCCCTGCCCCCTTCTCCCCATTTCCCCACCCCTGTTCACCTACATTCAGCAGCTGGTTGGCCTCCTTGCCGTCTTGGTTGACCCCATAATGAACATTCTGCTGCAACCTGTCCACCTCCTTCCCGGCCTGGCCAGCAGCATGGTGGACACCTTGGCCAAGTTTCTCCGCTTCCTTTGTAGCCTGGCCAGCAGCGTGGTTGACCCCTTGGCCAAATTTCTCTGCCTCCTTCCCGGCCTGGTTGACCCCATCGTAGACCCCGTGGACTACTTTGTCTGCTTCCTTTCCAGCCTGTTCAACGGCATGGTGAACTCCCTGGCCCAACTGTTCCACCTCCTTCCCAGCCTGGTTGACTCCATTGTGGACCCCTTGGACCACTTTGTCCCCTTCTTTCCCAGCCTGCCCTGCTGCATGGTGGGCCCCCTGACCAAACTTCTCTGCCTCCTTCCAGGCCTCATTAACCTCACGGTGGACCCCATGGCCAAACTGCTCCACCTCCTTCCCGGCCTGGTTGACCCCAGGATGGACACCTTGGACTATTTTGTCTCCTTCCTTTTCACTCTGTCCTGCGGCATAATGAGCATCCTGCCCAAACCACTCCACCTCCTTCCCAGCCTGGTTAATCCCATGATGGACCCCTTGGACTATTTTGTCACCTCCTTTCCCAGCCTGCCCAGCGGCATGGTGGACCCCCTGGCCAAACTTCTCTGCCTCCTTCCAGGCCTCATCAATCCCATGGTGAACCCCCTGGCCAAACTTTTCCGCCTCATTCCCAGCCTGCCCCGCGGCATGGTGGACCCCCTGGCCAAACCTCCCAGCCTCGTTCCCAGCCTGCCCAGCGGCATGGTGGACTCCCTGGCCAAACCTCCCCGCCTCGTTCCCAGCCTGCCCTGCGGCATGGTGGACCCCCTGGCCAAACCTCCCAGCCTCGTTCCCAGCCTGCCCAGCGGCATGGTGGACACCCTGGCCAAACTTCTCAGTTTCCTTCCAAGCCTCATCAATCCCATGGTGGACCCCCTGGCCAAACCTCCCCGCCTCGTTCCCAGCCTGCCCAGCGGCATGGTGGACCCCCTGGCCAAACCTCCCTGCCTCGTTCCCAGCCTGCCCTGCGGCATGGTGGACTCCCTGGCCAAACCTCCCAGCCTCGTTCCCAGCCTGCCCAGCGGCATGGTGGACTCCCTGGCCAAACTTCTCAGTTTCCTTCCAAGCCTCATCAATCCCATGGTGGACCCCCTGGCCAAACCTCCCCGCCTCGTTCCCAGCCTGCCCAGCGGCATGGTGGACCCCCTGGCCAAACCTCCCCGCCTCGTTCCCAGCCTGCCCAGCGGCATGGTGGACCCCCTGGCCAAACCTCCCCGCCTCGTTCCCAGCCTGCCCTGCGGCATGGTGGACCCCCTGGCCAAACCTCCCCGCCTCGTTCCCAGCCTGCCCAGCGGCATGGTGGACCCCCTGGCCAAACCTTCCCCGCCTCGTTCCCAGCCTGCCCAGCGGCATGGTGGACCCCCTGGCCAAACCTCCCCGCCTCGTTCCCAGCCTGCCCAGCGGCATGGTGACCCCCTGGCCAAACCTCCCCGCCTCGTTCCCAGCCTGCCCAGCGGCATGGTGGACCCCATGGCCAAACCTCCCAGCCTCGTTCCCAGCCTGCCCAGCGGCATGGTGGACCCCCTGGCCAAACCTCCCCGCCTCGTTCCCAGCCTGCCCAGCGGCATGGTGGACCCCCTGGCCAAACCTCCCCGCCTCGTTCCCAGCCTGCCCCGAGGCATGGTGGACCCCCTGGCCAAACCTCCCCGCCTCGTTCCCAGCCTGCCCCGCGGCATGGTGGACCCCCTGGCCAAACCTCCCCGCCTCGTTCCCAGCCTGCCCAGCGGCATGGTGGACCCCCTGGCCAAACCTCCCTGCCTCACTTCCCGCCTGGTTGACCCCATGATGGACCCCTTGAATCACTTTGTCTGCCTCCTTCCCAACCTGTCCAGCAGCGTTGTTAGCCCCATGGATAAACTTCTCTGCTTCCTTTCCTGCTTGTCCGACGCCATTGTTGATACCATGAGCTACCTTGTCCATGCCGTGGTTGAGCCCCTGGACGCCTTTGTCCAGCTCCTTGCCGGCCTGGCTCCCCATGTTGCTAAGTCCATTAAAAACTTTCTCCACTTCCCTTCCAGCTTGAGTGATGCCATTATTGATGCCTTCCAGGGCCTTGCCCACCTCTCTCTCTGCGTTGCTCAGCCCTCGGTTGATCCCTTCAATGACCTTCTCAATGGGGTCATCACTGGCTGCCCATCCAGGCAGGGCCCCCAATAGCAGTAGGAGGGAGCAAGAACTGACCAAACTGGCAAGATGCATATTGTTGGGAGGACGGAGAGAATGCAGAGAGGAACCAGCGAAGCCAAGCTGCTATTTATCCTGCCTCCCTCCCTCTTCTCCACCCCTCATGACTCAATTACCCGCATGAGACACTGACTTGGTTCCCAGTCAAGTGGGTATTTCCCAGGGAGGTTTGAGGTTGAGCAATGAAGAGGAGGAGGAAGAGAGGGTGAGTCATGAATGAAGAATACTCACATAGCATCTTTGCTCCTTGCCCAGTTTGGGCCCTCCACCCCAGGGCCTAGCTGTCTGCCTTCCAACTACCTCCTCTTCTCATTCCTCACCCACTAACCAGGTCTCCTCTCTCCCAACCCCACCTTCAATCACCCCCACCACCACCCACCCCTCCCACCCCCCATCTCTGGTTCCTCAGCTTCTTCACTCCTCACAGGGGATCAAGGATCTAGCTTCCCAGCATTGAGATTCTAGAAAGATGAGAGGTATAGTTAGGGGAGGTGAGCACTTTCAGAGAGATGAGAAAATCATTGGACCTTATGCTTATTATTCTCGTGGACCCATCGTCCCCCCCTTCTCTCTCTCTCTCTCTCTCTCTCTCTCTCTCTCTCTCTCTCTCTCTCTCTCACATACACACACACACACACACACACACACACAATTTACTATGCTTCAGCCACACAGGACTTCTCCCTGGCCCTCAAAAACACCAAGTTCATTCCTGCCATATGGCCTTTGCCCTTGTTGTTCTCCCTAGTCCTGAAACACACCAAGCTCATTCCTGCTTTATGTCCTTTCCTTGCTATTCTGTGAGGTATGCAGTACTCAGATCTTCACAATGCAGGTTCCTCCTCATTCTGTTTTTGGCTCAAATATCACCTTCTCAAAAAACTTCCCTGGCTATCCCCAGGTTATATACCCTGTAATATCATCCTTTGGTTTTTATAGCACTTAATTGATCCTAAATTACCTTTTTTATTGTCCATCTCTCCTATCAGATTATAAATATCCAGAGGCCAGGACCTTTGTCTGTGTTAGTTACTACTATATCCCCAACTTCTAGAACATTGCCTGGAGTTCAGTAGATATTTATAGATTGGACAAATGGATGGATTAGAAGAAGCCAAGAAAAACATAGGCCTAAGCCTGAGTCTCAGAGGGTGCTGAGGAGGAAGAGCGCCTGGGTCCCCAGAGCAACCTAGGGTCTCTTGGGAGGGTTGCATATTTTGGAGCCAGGATCACATTCTCATCACAGAACCCTAGCCTTCTGACTCCTAGCCCTTGGGGAAGGGCAGGGGGCTGATTGCCATGAGCTGGGACAGAACGCAGTGCCTCCTGAAAAGCCGGTTGAGGCAGCCATGGGGAGGGGCTGGAGACCCAGGGCAGCAGGAGACTGTCAGCCAGAACCTGGGCTGGGGGCCAAGAGCTCATTCTTCCTGACCTCCGCCCCTGGAGACTCATAAGTCCCAACCTGAAGTCCCAGGTGTTGACATGGCAGCATGGGTTGAAGGAGGAAATAGCTGAGAATTTGGCCTAAGTGCAAAGAGAAGCATAAGGAGTAAATCTGTGGCAGAGTATCTATCTGGAGGTAGTTTAGAGGCAGGCAGAGAGAGACCAGAAGGACAAGAGCCAGTGGGGTGGGTACAGTTGGGTGAAGGAGTGTAAAATATTTGGGTTTTTGTGCCAAGGGAGAGACTGAGAGAGGGGGTGGAGGTGGGACTGCAAGTAGGAAGGCCAGGCAGGAAGGAATGTGCAGGGTGTGAGCAAGTAGGGTGGCAGAATTATGTGTGTGGGTGCCCAGGTGTGGTGAGAATCTGTAAGTGTTTTGGGGCTTTGCTTAAACAAGGACAACAAGGCCCATTCCCTTGGCCGACCCAGGGTCCCACCCCAGATCCTGGACACTTGGCTCTATCCGGAACCAGGCATCCAAGACCCAGAGGCCCAGGAGCCTCTCTCTGCCTTCTCTGTGCTCTGCCTATAGAGGGTGACTGATTGTATCACCTCTCCAACCTTGAGCTCATCATATGTTTCCAAGTTTCACGCTCCAAGAACAAAGCCAAATCCCTGGGCAACCTCAGGTGTGGCTTTTCTTCCCTGTCTAGTGCCTAAATGAGGGAGTTTCCCATTCCAAGAGATTGCTGGGTGGGGAGCTCCAGAATCCTAATCCTCCCTGAGATTGACAGGTGAGGTTTCTCCAGTTTTCTTTCCACCCATCTCTCTGCCCTGCAATACCATCTTCTGTCAGCCTCAGACCCCCTCCTCAGTGCTCCATTCCCATTGGCCACTGTTTGGTTTGGATTTTGGCATCTACCTCTGTGACATTGGCCTGCCATCCTCTGCTGATTTTGGCTGTGTGGTTGTGTTGCTTTCCTAGAGTGAGTGGCGGAGCTTTCAGTCACGGAGCCATCACAGCTCCAAGAATCCCAAGAAGTTTGCCATGAAAGTACACAGTGTGCATGCCAATCTGCAGGGCCTCTGAACATTTGTTGCCCGGAGCCTCTCTGCACAGGAGCTGCCGCAGGCTTTCCAGCTCTGGTTAAAATCAGCAGCATTTCCTACAGTCTGGCAAATATTTGTTCCTGATGCTTTGGCAGATCTTGCCATAAAATCAGGATCTGAATCAGCCTTTGGGATCTTAACTCTTTGTCTCTTATTATTGGCCTACTCAGATCTGCCATTTTTTCTTCTGCCATTTCTTTTTGTACCAATTTTGATCCTTTATATTCTCTAAGAAATATTTTTATTTCATCAAGCATTTCATATTTATTATTATAAAGTTATACAAAAATCAGTCCCTTTTCAGTTCTGGTTTTATTTGTATGGTCTTTCCACCACTCTTGATCATACATGTAAAGTTTGTCCCCTTTGTTTAATCACTATCTTTTTTTGGTATTGAAATCTCCTTATCTGTATGTATACCCAATATAGTAGTTTCATTTCCACTTCTCCAGGGCCATCCAAGCAGGAAGGCCTCACCCTCACCCTAACCCATGGTAGTTGCTTTAGTAAACTGAGTAACCAGGAGGTTTGGGGAGGAGGTTATATCATTGTGCCCCTTCTTGTTTTCCACACCTCTTTTTGGGATGGTGACTCCTTCCTGGCTCAAACCCCCACACCCCTAAATCTTGGTCACAACTGTGTGTCAACTGGCCCTGCAGGTGCCTGTCTGTGAGTCATGGATGTGCAAGCAAGCTCCCACCGAGGTGCTTTAGAGGAAGGGGATCATCTATCCATTTGTTCTTCCCCAATTGTTTGTGGAAACTTGCTTTGTGCCAGGCACAGTTCTAGGTGCTGGAGACCCAGGGGTTAACAAATAGGCAAGAATGCATGCCTTGTGGGTGACAATGAACAAGTAAATCAAAACTAGGTCGCGACAAACTGCATGGAAAGCCACAAGGAAAAGAATGGGGTTTAGAGACATTTGCTGTGAGGAAAATAAAAAGAATAGCATAACTCTGGAATAGTTTTAGACTTGGAACAGCCAACTTAGAATGGGAAGTCAGACAGGCTTCCTGACAGTTGGGTACATTGAGGGGGTGAGGATGATGGCAGGTAGTGACTGAGAAAGAAGAAAACTTTAGATAGTGAGTCAGGAGGGTCTCTTTTAAATGTTAACACCTGCCCTGACCCCTGGCCAGTGTGGTTCAATTGGTTGAGCATCATCCAAAAGGTCACTGGTTTTATGCCCTCTCAGGGCACATGCCCAGGTTGTGAGCTTTATCCCTGTAGGAATGTGTGCAAGACAACCTATTGACATTTCTCTCTCCCTCTCCTTTCCATTCTCTCTAAAATCAATAAAAGCATGTTTTTTAAATAAAGGGCAACACCTGAGAGAAACTAAGAGGCAGCCAGCTGAGGGGAGGCCTCCGATGGGCTTCTAAAGAACAGCAGGAGTAACTATGGGGGAACGGGGATGTGTGTCCAGGAACAGTGCGAAGCCAGTGTGCTTAGGAAGAGAGAGAATGGTTTTGAGGGCCAGTGTAAAAAGTTGGATTCCATTCTAGACACTAGCGGTGGCATTGGAATGGTGGTGCACAATGTGCAGACAGCACACCCCCACTGGGATGGGATGGGCCCTTTGTACCACTGCCTCTGTGACATCACTGGACTATGACGTCACGGCAGAAAGCTCTTGCCCCGCTGGCCCCGCAACCCGCGCCGCAGTAACATCCCCGCGTCGCAGGAACATCGCAGTAACATCTCCGCTCGCAGTAACATCGCGGCGAGTCCCTGGGCAGCCAGGCCATGAAATTTTAGGAGGCCATGCGGAAGCGCGACATCGTCCTCACCAATGTCACCGTGGTCCAGCTGCTACGAAAGCCATGTCCCGGTGAGGGAGGAGGCGGAGGAGCCCGCTGGGAAGGGGGAGGGCGGGGGCGAGGGAGGATGGGAACAGCGCTCTCTGGGTCGGAGTCCCCTTCATAGAATGTCGGTAAGAGGGGCAAGAGGCGCACTCTGGCCAACCGGCTTTTCCATCCAGCTTTCCTCCCACCCCCAGCCACCCCTCCCCAGTCGACCACCAGAGTTTGCTAGTCTAGTGGTTTCCATCTCACGCTTGTGGTGGAAGGCTAGAAGCAGGGGCTGGGATGGAAGCAGGAGCCGAGTTTAAGAGGGGGCGGTTCTGTGGTCAGCCTCTGGAGTTGAGAAGCTCCGGGAGGGAGGTTTCACCTGAAATTGATGCTCCCATCGACCAGGGCGGAAGAGCCGCTTGGGAGATGGGGGGCTTTGTCCCTCCCTGTATTGCACCAAGCCAGGACACTTGCAACCTCCCAGGGCTGTGCCCAGCGCTTCGCTAGCGTGCACTTATTGAAGCCTCACAACCACACAGTGAGGTCAGCAAGTTTAGTTCCCTTTCAGAGAGCGCAGACCACTTTCCTTAGGTCTCTCCCGCTGGAATCGTACAGTTGGGACTCGGAGTCCCGCTCACAACCACTGGGCAGCCCTAAGTCACCCAGTTGGAAGTGCGCATGTACACACACACACACACTCCAACCCAAGGAGCCCAGGTCTTTGGGAGGCAACCACAATCCCTCCCGGCCTCTTCACTTCGGGTTGGGGCTTGGGGGGGTGAGAAACAGACAGGAAGCTCCTCCCCAAGAGGCTAGGCGTGGCCCGGGCTTAGGTAACACTCTGGGGCCTTGAGCCCGCTGGGCCTGGGTTTCCCTTTGTAAAGTGGATTTGTAGCATAAGTCTCACAGGATTCTGTAAGCCGATGCACATGGAGCTCAGCACAGCACCGTCACTGTAATTGGCAGAGCGCACCTGTGACAGCGCTTCACCTACAGAAGCAGCTCCGCTGGGCTCCACCTGCTCAGCAAAGTAACTTTTCTCCAGCCCGGGACCCCACCCCTAGAGTGGAGGGAAGTTGGGAGTTTTAGGTGGAGGTGTGGATTCGTCCCTACTTGTAATCCAGATGGACAAATATCCTTTGTTATAGCAGAAACAGAACCCCAAGGAATGTAAACATCCTAAGGTCACCAATAATCACAGGGCCTCTGCCACCAATAAAGACTAATACGTTTATGAACTTGTACTGCTACTGCAACCACCCACAGCCCAGCTTCAGGCCACAAGGTCTGTGGCAGCCCAGAGAGGTCAGGGAGACAGCAGGCCAGCTGGCCCTGGCTCCTAGCCACTTCACTTCCCCAGTGCTTTAGATTCTAGTCGTGCCAAAGCCAACTCCCATCTTCATCCTCGGGGCTCTCTCCATCCCCTTCTCTCCCTTTCCTCATCAATACTTACTATCAGACTTCCTCCCCTGTATTAAAATCAGCACTTGAGATTTCACTGAATCCTCCCAAAAGCCCACAAGGAGAGGGTCAGATGTGATGACCGGAAGTAAGTCAGAGAGGGTCATTAACTTGCACAAGGCCAGATGCCAAGTAGTTGAGCCAGGGATGACAAGCAGACCTGATCTCCAGTATGAAACCCTCTGCTAGGCAGACCGCTGACTGCTGTCTCCACATCTCCCCTCCTCTTAAACCTTCACCTGGAGCTCAGATAGCACACCTCCAACCACAGGTGTTTGAATATGCAATAAGGGAGTGGGAGTGTGTGTTTAGAGAGCCAGAAGCTGATAAAGATCTCCGTTTGTTTCATGTTCTGGTACATCTGTATTCCCTAAACTTTTCTGAGTATAAGAATCACCTTAAATACGTAACTATCAACAAATGAATCTAAAAACCAAGGGAATAAAAAATCTGATGAACAATATTAACTGGTGAATATAATAGAATCAGGGGTATAGAAAGGGAGTGGACTGACAATTCTCGGGGAAAAGGGGAGTGGGGGGTGCGGGAAAAGACTGAACAAAAATCGTACATCTATGGATGAGGACAGTGGAGGGAGGGGGTAAGGGCAGAGGGTGGGGTAGGAACCTGGTGGAAAGGAGCTATGGAGGGAAAAAAGAGGAACAATTGTAATAATCTAAACAATAAAGATTTATTAAATTTAAAAAAAATCACCTTAAGTGCTCCTTAAAAACACTTGAGCTCAAAACAGACCTACTGAGTCAGATTTCCCTAGGAGGCACAGACCACTGGGCTACATGAATTATCAGACCATTTGGGGAAAGGTCTTCGAAATACTAATGTATGCTGAATGTTCCCAAACTATTGTCATAAGCGCTACATATATTATCATCTCATTTAATCCTCACAGTGACCCTCTGAGAGTACTATTATCTCCATTTTAGAAAGAAAACTGAAGCACAGAGTGTCACCCCAAGCTACTGTTAAAAATACATAGTACCCACTGAATTAGCATCACCAGGGAAGGGGCCCTGGCACTGAAATTTTAAAGCAAGCCCATCCTCTATCCATTTTGTGGATCAGGTAGGTTTGGGAAATACGGCTCCTTTTCTCTCACTGTGATTGTGCAGCTCATTGCCACACTCCACTCCTCCCAACAGTGATCAGACCACCACCACCACCACCACCACAAAAAGTTGAGGCAGAGCCAGAGCCAGAGCCAGAGCCAGAGCCAGAACCAGAGCCAGAGCCACAGCCAGAACCAGAGCCAGAGCCAGAGCCAGAGCCTATCAAGGAGGAAGCCCCTCCTCCTCCTCCTCCTCCTCCCCCTCCTCCTCCTCCACCTCCTCCTCCTCCTTCTCTACCTCTTCCACCTCCTCTAACTAAGAAGCCTTCTGCGATTCGGGAACTGACTGTTGGCATCAATGGGTAAGTCAGCCCTGGCCTCCGAGCCTTCCTGAAGCTGTAGGGCCCAGGCATTCCTCCAGTTACTGAATATCCACATTTCTCACCAACAATGCTTTCATTTTGTGCACGTGGGGGGGTGGGGGGGGAGTAGTCAGACAGGGCTTTGCTTATTCTGATGGGAAAACAACTATCAACTAAGGAACATTTGGTTTGCTGATGTGTGAATGAACAGTATGGAGTATATTTAGGACTGGAGAGGCCAGTGTTAGCTGGGGTGTCAGGAAAGACCTCTGGGAAGTGACCCTGGAGTGAAGCCGTGTGGCAGCTGTGCAGCAAGCAATGGCTCGGAGGTAGAGGTGGCAGTGCAGCGTGCAAAGGACAGGCAGGAATTCAGTGCTGGTGTGGAGCAAAAAAGGCAGAAGAGGAAGGAATGTAGTGGAAAGCAGACGGGCCTGGTAAGCCATGGTAAAGAATTTGGATCTGGTTTTATTGATAGGGTTGTGGAGGTTTTCAGGCCAAGAGACATAATCAGACCTGAAATTATGAAAAATCCATCCAGCTACACGATTAGGAATAGGGTAAAGGGTGGATGGGTGAGGAAGCGGGCAAATCGGTTAAACTGGTGAGATCATCAGCAAGGTGATAGCTGCCTGCAAAGGGTTGGTTGCCTTCTTCCCCGAGACCAATGAGTCCCACCCAGTTCCCTTGAGAAGCCTCCTGTTACCCCCTTTTTTCCTGTCCCCTCCTCTGCCTGCTGGCTGAGGATTTTGAAAACAATCCCACAATCCCTGTGCTGGACAGATTTGGACGCATCGGCCGCCTGGTGCTGCGAGCTTGCATGCAGAAAGGTGTTAAGGTAGTAGCAGTGAACGATCCATTCATTGACCCGGAATATATGGTGAGTAGCAGGTAAAGGGTACGACCGGGGGGTTCAAGGGTGCTCTCTGGAAGGTTCTCAGCTGCAATATGAAACCTTCACCAAGGCAGGATTCCTTAGGGATGCTTGCTCCCCTAACCCTGCCTCCCCCAAGATCAAGAGCCATTCTGTCTCCCACAGGTGTACATGTTTAAGTATGACTCCACCCATGGCCGATACAAGGGAACTGTGGAATACAAGAATGGACGGCTGGTTGTGGATAAACAGGAGATCAGTGTCTTCCAGTGGTAAGGGCAGCTGTCTGATGCATGCCTACAACAAAATAATGGAGGGGGTGTAAAGATGACAAGAATGGGATCCCAGCCTCTCACTTGGGATTCATAACCCCTCAGCATGTATGTATCTTGGTACTGGTTTGAAGAGGGAGGTCTCAGAGAAGTCTGTGACTGCTAAAATGGTTAGGAAGCACTTACTTAGAAGATGCTCCCCCTATTCTCAGTAATACTTTTGATTTAATGCACATTTGCAAGTTTTCGCACAGACATATCAATTCAACATGTCTAAAACGCACCTCTTGATTCTCCATCAACCCCCAAACTTATTCATCTCCCTTCCCAGGAAGCGACATCGCCATCTGGCCAAGTGCTCCTACTCGGTTCTTACACAGCAACCACAGTGGCCTTTTTAAAAACGTCAACTGGGCCATTACTGCCCTACTTAAACCCTCCCATTACCCCACAAATAAAATCCCAGCTCCTGATAGGGCCCCACAAGCACTATGAGCCCTACGCCTGAGCCTTCTAATGTAATCTCAGCCACACTGGCCATCCACCTCTTGCCCCATTATTAGATGCTCCAAAGACATCAAGAAAACTAAAAATTTATAAAATGGAAAATAGTGAACCTACTTCATATCTCTAATGTAAATTACTGGCCACTGCTGGCCCTGGTTTGACATATACTTGTGCTTGCATGCTCACAAGCCTTTCCAGCGCTCCTCCCAGCAGATCCACTCCCAGCCCCCTCTCATTTATTAGGGTGCTGGGGGATGTGAATAAATGAGGGACAAGGAAGGCTTGTGGTTAGGTGATCAGGGCTCGGTGCAGGGAAGGGGTGGAGGTGGGGATTGGAACATGGGTGAGAGAAGCTTCTTGACCCAAGTTTGAAATCATAACCAAAACCAATTCTGGCACAGAGGTCATTACTCAGACATACCATGTCCTCTCCTTCCTCAACCTGGGCACCATTGTTCCTGCCACTTGCAGCATTCTCCCAATCACTGTGCAGCCCTACTCGGGTTCTGCCTTGTCAGGTCACTGCAGTGGTTATTCCCCGCGCCACCCCACTGTCACTGCACTGTGGGTGTTCCCAGGCACAAAAGTGATGTTGCTTTTGGATGCACTTTACCCTGCTCCACCCTTTCTAGACAGGCAACCTTGGGCTAGGGAAGTGAATTTCCTTGAGCCTATTTCTTCTTGTAACTGATGGGGTGGGGATCAGATCCATTGCACGTAGCACAGCCAAAGTTAAACAGTCATGTGGGGAGCACTGAGAAGGGCATTTTCCCACAAGGCCACAGCCTCCTTGCAGGAAGAATCCTATCCTACAGTGCAGACCCTGGCTCTGGGAATACTCAGTACTTCCTTGAATGAATGAATGGAATCCTCAAAACAAAACCCTGCGCAGGAAGGCAGGGCCTAACAGTCTAGGGGAAAGGGCTGGGTCTTTTGAGGTAGCAACTTAACCACTGTTGCAGAGAAGTTTGTTGAGTAGCCCTCCTCCCTAACTCAGAAGGCAGGACATGGGGAGCACCTCACAAAAGAGGTAATTGAGTCAAATGATGAAAAGTATGACCTGACAGGGAAGATGACCAAGAAAAGAGAACCATGTGTGGTGGCCCAGGGAGAAGAGAGGAAGCTACTCATTCATTCCTTTAATCTGGTATGCAGCCAGTACAGATCTTAGGACCAACCTATCTGTGCTTCCAGCCAGCTCTGTCTCCTACCCCTTCACCTCTGCCCTGGCTTCTCTGGAGAATGCCAACAAGGGTGTGAGGTTAAATGATTCAGTGAAGGCGAAGCACTTAAAACATGGGCACATGGCAGGTGTTCAGTAAACATGTGTAGATGGCTAATAAAAAATAGCACTACAAACACTATCTGAACCTCTTTGGAGGAAGCAGGCTCAATGACAAAGGAAATAGGCATAACCCTTTTGCCTTTAGAGCGATCTAAAAGATGAGATAGATGCTAACAAAAAATCACAAAAGCAAATACTGCAGTTGTGATAAGTCCTGTGAAGAAAGACTCATATACAAACCAAAAAGAGCAATAATATTTAATGTTCCAAATGCAAACTACCAAGTTTAAAAAAAAAATTATATATATATACATATATATATATATATATATATATACACACACACACACACACACACACACACACACACACACAGAGGTGTGTAAATATATATATATATATATATATATATATATATATATATGCATGCCTAAGCGACTGTTACAACCCAACGACATGAATAACCGGTCAACCAGTTGCTATGATGCACACTGACCACTAGGTGGGGAAGACACTCAACACAGGAGCTGCCCCCTGACAGTCAGTGCACTACCAAAGCCAACCTCCTGCAGCCCCTCCTCCCAGCCAGCCAGCCCCCCAATAGGCCTCAATTGCCGGCCAGGCCGAGGGACCACACCTGTGCACAAATTCATGCACTGGGCCTCTAGTAAATTTATAAAAGTGGAAACCAAAAAGGCCTTGATCTTTCTGATGTAAAATAGTAACCACTGCTGACCCCAGGGTAACCTGAGGCTACAGTTCCACCCCTCTTCCCCATTGCTCCCAGGATGTAGTGCCCGTCTTCAGGGACTTGCTCAGCCTCTGGCAGTAGGCTCCCTGTTGCAGAAGCTGAGTGACAGAGACAAGAGGCAAAGAGGGCCACGGTGAGGTTGTGAGGGCAGGGAATCAGAAGCAGTGCAGCAGGCCTCACCCTTCTGGAGTCTACATTCTAGGCAACATATGTAGAAAGGGACTGACCTGGTTGGCCATAGTCAGGGGTGGTCCCCTGGAGACAGAGGGTGATTGAGACTGAGTAGGGGAGGTGGCACTTATATATAGCAGGGCATAGCAGGGGAATGGCAGTCAAGGTAGGAGTCCACAAGAGCTGTTCGCAATGTATTAAGATAGGAATGGCAGGGCTGGGAGTGTCAGATCTCCTGTCTCAGCAGCTTTGTACTTGCTGCTCCTTTGGCCTGGAAAGCTTTCAGCCTCCCTCCTCAGCAAGCTGCCAAGAGGCAAGACTAGCAGGGTCAAATCTACCTGGGATAGCTAAGTTATATGGGGGGTGGAGAGAAGAGATGGTTACAGGCCAGGTGGAAGGTGTCTAGTCAGCCTTTCAAACAGTAATGGCCAGGGATTATGAAGGCAAGGCCGTGCAAGGGAGACTGATACATAGCCCTGCCACCTCTCTACAGTAAGCAGCCCAAAGAGATCCCTTGGAAATCTGTCGGGAGCCCCTATGTGGTAGAGTCGACAGGAGTGTACCTGTCCCAAGAGGAAGCTTCTGTAAGTGGGGGAGAAGTGGGCAAGGCTGGCTTGGGGGTGTGACACTCAAAGCATCTCATCAATTCATGACACCAGTGCTCCTTCCTCCTTCCTTAGAACCACATCCAGGCAGGTGCCTTCCGTGTGGTCATCAGCGCACCCTCACCAGATGCACCCATGTTTGTAATGGGGGTGAACGAAAAGGACTATAATCATGATTCCATGAAAGTTGTCAGGTAACGGGCAGCAACATCCAGAAGTGGGTGGGTGATGTCCAGAGAACATGCCAGCCTGTGATGGAAAGGGATCAGACTCAGCCTCCCGACCCCACCTTCACCCCCACTGGTGCCTCTTTCACATCTCCATCTGCTTCTCCCTCCCCAAGTCTTAACAGTCACTATGTTAACATCCTCCTAAAACTGTTAGAAACGCACAACTTCTGGAGAATATGCTTGGGGGGCTTCCCCAGCTGCACCTCCGGTGCCTCCTTTAGTCTGAAGGCATCCCCAGTGATCTTTCTCATCCCCATCCTGACTTTTCACAAATCCAAGCCTATGAGCATATCCCCAAATGAGGAAGAGTGGCTCTGACACTCACCTCACAGTTCCCTTGCATACCGGGCTGTTTCAGCAATGCATCCTGCACCACCAACTGCCTGGCCCCCCTTGCCAAGGTCATTCATGAGCGATTCGGGATTGTGGAAGGACTGATGGTGAGTTGGGGAGAGGGCTGGGCAGGATGGATGGCAGGGAAACGGTACCTCTTCCTCTCAGGATTTGCTTAATGTATGACTTTAGTAGAAAAAAACTGGTTTCAAGAGGAAAGGCCCACCAGGGGTGGAGTCTTCTAAAATTCTGTGTAACTCGGCAAGGCTGAACCTGGCATGCAGGTGCCCCTCCAGGGTTCTGTGGTGGCCTCACAACCTCTACACCTGGCTCATCACTTCAGACCTAAATTAAAGAGGCACAGGAACTTACGAGCAGGAAGGCCTCACCTCAGCCGCCTTCTTCCCCAAGACCACAGTCCATTCCTACACGGCCACTCAGAAGACAGTGGACGGGCCATCAAAGAAGGCCTGGAGAGATGGACGAGGAGCCCACCAGAACATCATCCCAGCCACTACAGGGGCTGCCACGGCCGTGGGCAAAGTCATCCCAGAGCTCAAAGGGTATGAGTGCAGGAAGCTGCAACCAGGGTGGGAGGCACACCCTGGGAAGAGCAGACTGGCCCCAATCCTTGAGGTATCTAATGAGAGGAAGGCGGTGGTGAGGGGGACAGATGGAGAAGTCTGTGGGTTCTGACTTCCACCTCGATGTGGAACTGTCCAGGAAGCTGACAGGAATGGCGTTCCGGGTGCCAACCCCAGACGTGTCTGTTGTGGACCTGACCTGCCGCCTAGCCCGACCTACCACATACTCAGCCATCAAAGATGCCATAAAAGCAGCAGCCAAGGGACCAATGGCTGGCATACTTGCCTACACCGAGGATGAGGTAGGGACTGAGAAGAGACCCTGGGAGAATCCTCTGGGAGAGAGCGTGACTTCCCACTTGCCAAGGAGCTGCTCGCAATGTATAGGAACTGCAGGGCTGGGAGAGTCAGATCTCCTGCCTCAGCATCTTTGCACTTGCTGCTCCTTTGGTCTGGAAAGCTTTTCCCCCAAGTGGCCATATATCTGCCCTCACCTCCTCCAATTCTTTACTTTAGCCTCCCTCCTCAGCAAGATGTTCTTTTTGTGGCCCCTTTCTTCACCTGAAATTCCATTTCAGTCACGATTGGTCCTGCTAGCATGTGCACTCCAATAAGGCGAGGATTTGGAGACTATCTTTTCACTTCCATAGCTCCAGCCATCTTCCCAGGGCCTGGCATGCAGCAGAGGCTCAATACATGCTTCCTGAACAAGACAAAATACACCATTTTTCAACACTTGCTCAGGGCAGGCCATGGGCAGGCACCTTCCCTGTGAAAAACAGATGTCATTGTCCCTTTGTTCCCAGTAGTACTATCTCTGGTGCTATCTCCCTGGTTTAGCTCCTTGCAAGTCCACCCTCACACAGCCACCAGGACCTCTTGTTTAAATGAAATCAGATCACATCCCTCCTCCCCCCACTGCAGAAAACCTTCCTGTGGCCTTCCACACCAGGGCCAAAACCCTCGCAGCCTCTGTGCTGCAGCTCCTTTTACCTCAGGTCTGCTGAGAGCCTGAGTCATCCAAACTCAGCCTTGCTGCCTCCACTTGGGCCTCTGTGCCAGCCCCATTCCAAGTGCCTGAATTATTCCCAAGAAATGATATGTATTGGTACAGCATCAGGGTGTTTGTGGTCTGTGTCCTTTGGCCAGTCCCTCACCAGCAAAGCCCCCATTTGCCTTCTTCATATCCCATCCCCACAGCCTGGACACAGTAGAACTCCACCAAATATTGTAGATGAACGCAGAGCCAATATGCCTGAGTCAGAACCTGGACTCCAGGAGGTCTTTGCGACCCAAACTTACCTCAGAAATTCTGACACCCAGGTTGTCTCTACGGACTTTATCGGCGACACCCATTCGTCCATTTTCGATGCTAAAGCGGGCATCGCGCTCAACGACAACTTCGTAAAGCTCATTTCCTGGTAAGGGGGGCGGGTCAGAGAACACAGGGAGCTGGGGGTAATGGGGAGGGATCCCCTGACCCTCTACCGCCCTCCCCAGGTACGACAATGAATTCGGCTATAGTCACCGGGTGGTGGACCTCGTCCGTCACATGTATAGCCGAAACAAGTGAAGTGCGACAGCCCCTCCACTCCCCTGCGCTCCCAGTCCAGAACCTCCGCCTCTCCAAGAGCCCGTGGGCCACAAGCGAAATAAAAATGTGCTCACAGCTGCGCCGTGTCTCGCGCCGTTCGGAGGGGGGGAGGAAGGGGAGGAGTCCCCACTTCCTCCAGCGGCAGGTGCACAAGGGCCGGGCGCCGATCCTCCTGGGCAGACGCGCCGGCGCAGGTTCCCGCGGCCGCGCTCTGCGTGCGGGCGCAGCTCGTGACGTCAGCGCCCGGCGCCCGGACTCCGCTCCCAGAAGGCCGCGCGGGCGCGGCGGAGGCCGGGGCTCCCAGCGCGGGCTCAGGCGTCTGGCGGGCGAGGTAGAGTCCTGCCCTGCGAAGGACGGGGGCGGCGCCATGACCTTGTTTCACTTCGGGAATTGCTTCGCGCTGGCCTACTTCCCCTACTTCATCACCTACAAGTGCAGCGGCCTGTGAGTGCGGGGCGGCCGCGGGGCGGGGGGCGCGGGTCCGGGCGAGCCCTCACCGCCGGCTCCTGCAGGTCCGAGTACAATGCCTTCTGGAAGTGCGTCCAGGCTGGGGTCACCTACCTCTTCGTGCAGCTGTGCAAGGTGAGGGCGCCCAGAGCCGCTCGTCTGGCCCCAGGCTCGCCAGACGCAGCGCTCCACCCTGCCCAGACCGCGCTGTGTGGTCCTCAACTCTACCATAGAAGATGGGCTCTGGAAGGGTGGGACCTGAGGAGACGCCTGCAAGCAGCTTTTGCATAGCTATTTTTGTAAGACTGAGAAAACTCAGTGATACCGTTTGAAGGGGTTTTGTATGGTTAAGAACCACTAACCACCACCCGGTGCTGCAAATGCTGCTGGTCGCGGCTAGCCCACACACCTCTAGGTCTGACCCTGTGATCACCACAGAAAAGCTTCCAGGCCTCTTCCCTGCATCTCCACCAGTCCTGTAATCTTGCCCCCTCAGCTGGTGATCCCTCTCCATATGAGAACCCCAGGACCGTACACACTAACTTCCCATACCTTGAGGTGACCTCTGTTTTCTGTTCTCAGATGTTGTTCCTGGCCACTTTCTTTCCCACCTGGGAAGGCGGCATCTATGACTTCATTGGGGTGAGTGGGGCAAGGAATCGGGGAGGGAGTGCACAAGTAAGGCCTTCTGACATCTGTACTTACTCAAGCCTTAACCTGACCCACAGGAGTTCATGAAGGCCAGCGTGGATGTGGCAGACCTAGTAGGCCTAAACCTTGTCATGTCTCGGAATGCCGGCAAAGGGGAGTACAAGATTATGGTTGCTGCCCTGGGCTGGGCCACTGCAGAGCTCATTATGTCCCGGTGTGTGCAGGTTCCTGAGAAAGAACAACTGGGTTTCAGAGAGATTCTGGAGGGTGGGATCTCAGATTCTGGGTGCTGAGGGTTTCTGGGTACTGGAGAATCCTCCCCTTTGCCTTTTTCAGTTGCATCCCCCTCTGGGTTGGAGCCCGGGGCATTGAATTTGACTGGAAATACATCCAGATGAGCATTGATTCCAACATCAGTCTGGTAGGCAGTGCTACTGTCCCATACACATCTTTTTGCTGGTGGCAGTACTTCTCCCCAGTACTTGGCCCTGACTTCCTGCCTTCCTTCAGGTCCATTACATCATTGCATCTGCCCAGGTGTGGATGATAACACGCTACGACCTGTACCATACTTTCCGGCCAGCTGTCCTCCTGCTGATGTTCCTCAGCGTCTATAAGGCCTTTGTCATGGAGTGAGTTGGGAGGGATGCAAGGATGGGTCCAAAAGGGGATGGATGATCTGTTTTCCTTCTTTCATTGTGATGTTTCCTCACAGGACCTTCGTCCACCTTTGTTCCTTGGGCAGCTGGACAGCACTTCTGGCCCGAGCAGTAGTGACAGGGCTGCTGGCCCTCAGCACCCTGGCCTTGTATGTCGCTGTTGTCAACGTGCACTCCTAGGCTTGAGTCTCAGGCATTCACATATCTTTTCCTTGTCTGCAGGTTTTTGTGAATTAAACAGTATTTGGGAAGAAGTTGTTTCCGCCTACATTTCTCTCTGGAGCTGTCTACCAATACCACACTCGCGTGTCCCAGAGGCCCTTGTTCTGGCTTTGAAGCCAGGTAGACAGTCTGGTTCTGATTTGTCCTATGCTCCTGTAGCTCTTTGTTTTCCCAGGGTAGACTGAAGGGCTTAAAGAATATAATGTTTGAGCAGTGGCAAACTAGAGAACAGGTAATAGAGGGAAGCTAGAATCCAAAGTTCTTGGGGACTTCTCACAACCTTAACCTGGCCCTCTACATATGGGCCCTTACCTCACTGGTTACCTCCAAGACCCCTGTCCCTAATCTACTTTGATCCACCCTTTATATAGCAGCCGAGGGGATCTATCTGAGAACCCAGTCTTACTAACTCACCCTCCTTACAACCATCTAAAGCTCCCATTGCACACTGGACAATTGGGGCAGACTTCTGTGATTCTGAGTTCCTCAGTTCTATGGTCCTCAGATAAAGTCTGGTCTGAGTCTTCTTAGGGTAGAGTTCAGAGACAGCTGCAGCCAAGCGGAGCATTTGAGTCCCTAAATTTGGATGTTGTCCTGGATGCCACCCTCCCCATACCAACCTTTCCTTGATCCAATGGGGTCAGCTCCCTGCCCTATTTCTGACCCCTCCCTGAGGGATGTCAGAAGCAGAGCTTTGAATTTCTTTTCTTTTTTTTTTTTATATATTGATTTTTTACAGAGAGGAAGGGAGAGAGATAAAGAGCTAGAAACATCGATGAGAGAGAAACATTAGCCAGCTACCTCCTGCACACCCCCTACTGGGGATGTGCCCCTACCAATGTACATGCCCTTGACCGGAATCGAACCTGGGACCTTTCAGTCCACAGACCAACATTCTACCACAGAGCCAAACCGGTTTTGGCCAGAGCTTTGAATTTCATGTTTTAGCTCCACCGTGATATAAATCCTGCCACTCAGGAGAGTGTTCCCCAGCCCTGGTTTTCCCAGTGGAATCCCCCATGATGTGAGACTGGGCAGTTGCCCCCTCCCTCAATCTGTTATACTAGTAGAGGTCCTGCCATAATGTTATTTAACTCTGGGCCTAGGAAAGCATCGTGCACAGCTGCTCAGCTCTGCTATGACAGTCTTGATGTTTTCAGAGGGAACATACAACCACTATTTGGCCCCATCCTTTACCCCTAGTCAAGATAGGGTCCACAAATATCTTGGGAGAGGAATGGGGAAGTGATTGATTGGTCACCCTGACTCTGACTTAAAAGGGGATTAACGCCGGTACTCCCCCAGTCCAGGTAGGTGGATATGTAATGGAGTCACTTTCTCATATACCTTTATCCCATGTACCACCTAGCTCTTGACACTTGTTGGAACAAATGAAGTTTGCGGAAATTATTCAACAGTTTGCTGGGCAGGTACTCCCAGGCCCCACTTCCGGTGGCTAACTGTCTATGAACTAGTCCCAGCTTCCACGGGATACAGACAGACCAGAGTGGCAGCGGGGAGTGAGTAACATAGGCCAAGAGGAATCAGGGCTGTGATGGGTGAAGCCTGGTCAGAGCAGTAGGACTGATGAGCTAAACTAGTGATCAGAGCTGTGATGATAAAACGGTGGTCCAGAGCTGACTCAGGTGGGGAGAAGGGAGAAGGGTAGAGGGGAAGACAGGCTGGGCTCCCTGGAAGAGATGTATGAGCTGAGACCTGAAAGATGAGTTAGACTAAGAGGAGAAAACAGGTGTCAAGGCCTTGAAGTCAGGACCTTCCCTTTTCATCAAACTGGTTGGAACAAGTTCAAGGGGGTTTGTGAGATAGAAGTCAGGGTCTGGATCCCAGAAGGCTCTGAGGGTTGGGCTGAGGAGTTGACCAGGGACAGTGGGGAACCAGGGAGAGTTCTGTGTGGTGGGACGACAGGGTCAGATTTGGCTTTGAGGAGATTGTGGCCACTGTGGGTGGGGAGACTGAGGTTAGAAAATCAGGACTGGACCAGGACAGGATGGCGGAAGTAGGGGAGTGGCTATAAGCGGAGTAGAGGTGGTGACCATCAGCCTGTTTTGTTTTGTTTTTTCTGTGTGGTAGGGGGATTGTGGAGATGACAAGGGAGAAAGGAGTAAAGAGCCCTTCCCAAGGTCTTATCACATTTTCCTAGGAGGGGAAACCTACTGATGCAACAGTGGATGGGAGCAGGTTTGGAGGATGATACAGAGACCAACTTGGGTCTTCTCAGACATGCCTGGGGAAGCTAGAAACATGCGGGTAATACTGCAGAGACAGAACTGAGATTGGTCAGGGGCACTGATGAAGACGAGGGAGAAGCCAGGGGTCTAGCCAGAGAGACTCATTAAAGAAAGGAAAAAAGAGACAAGAAAGGGTGGAGCCAGAGGGAGGTGGAGGTCCTGGGACGGGTAATATTTCTGGCAGTTGGAAGCTTAACTTTTCAGGTGAGGATGTAAAGAGGAGCTTGTGAGTTTAACCTCAGGAGTAAGTTGGGATGCCCATTGCTTTGCAAAGGAGTGAACAAATGGAATAAGAGTGGAGACACCTGTGAAGGCTGCAGGGCAGCCTGAGGTGGAAAAGATTTTGACACCCTGAGTCAAGGAGCCTCCCCAGAGAAAGAATGGGTGCTGAGAGCCCAGGGGCAGTGTTTAGGTTAGTGGAATGCTTAAAGAGTGCTCTGGAGCGTGGGTACATCCATTTCACCTTTAAATGCTGTAACCCTAGGCAAAGAAATGGGACTTTATTTTCCCAATGAAGGATTATTGAGTACCTACTGTGTGCCACTCTGTGTTTTAGGAACTGGAGATAACAGCCCTGATAAAAACAGCCCCTAAGTTGTAGGATTGTGGGACCAAAGAAGCTATTGAAAACCACTTAAGATGGTGCCAAACCAAATTAAAAGCAGTCACTGTGAGCTGGTTTATTACTATTAATGCAGTCACAAGTGTGTTTTAAAGAGCCCCCAAGTACTCCACCTCACAAGAGCTACTAGCTCCTCCCCATCAAGCCTCCTCCCTCAGATGGGGGCTTCCCCACACCAGCTCAGAGGATCCTTTTAGATGGGAAAGGGCAGTAGGGAG